CTGATTTTCAAGGTTACAAGGTGATAGAATTAGTATATTTAATAATCATTTATTTGTTTTATCCCATGTTACTAATACAACAGCCTTGGAATGACAGCGCTAATACCCACATCAGCTTGTTACCATAACTATTTTTTTTTTAATTTTGTGTATGCTCTTTCCAGTCTTCCCTATTTTAAAAAAGTTAAAATTATCATACTATATCTACTTTGAGCATGTAGCCCTTACACTCTGTACACTCTACCTTTTAGATCATTGGTAATTGTATATTTAATTCTCATCACCAGTCCTTAGATTGGTATCAAACATCTTAATTGTCAGAAAAATATTCTATTATAGATTCCTAAAGAAGGGCTTATAGGAACAAAATCCCTTAAGTTACTACATGTTGGTAATAGTTTATGTCCTTTATACCTGAAAGATGGTTTTGTTAGGTATAAAATCCTTGACTCACAATTTTGTTTCTTGGGCATCTTAAATGTTATTTAATTTTCTTGTGGCATAAAGTGTTGCTGTAGAAAAGTCTGATGAGAATGTATAATTTTTTCTCTTATAAGCCACAGGCTTTTTTCTTCTAGATGTCCAAAGGAAGTTTTTTAGTTTTCATTAAAGTCTAGTAATTTTATTATAAGAGTATGTCTTGGCATTGCTTGTTCTGGGTCAAGATTTCACATTCACAGTATACTCCTCCAAAATAAATATTAAAATCATTTTTTTGAACTGAAAGTTTTTACCAGTTTTTGTTTCCTTGCTTTGGTTTTCTTCTTAAGGAACTCACATTATCCATATATTGAATCTTTTCTTCACTATTTGTCACTTTCTCTTGAGTCCTTTTTATAGCTCCGTTTAGATTTTTTAATTGATTTGATTTTTTAAAATTTCTGTCTTTTTCACTTTCTGTTTCTCTTAAGGTGTTGTCTGTTGTTTACTCTTTTTGTCTTTGGCTAGTTTAGTATTCACTTCTGAAATGATTTTATTATTTTATTTTAGATTCTTTTCTGGGTTCTTTCACTTTACTTCTGAGTTTTTCTAATCCAGATTTCTGTTGTTATTTTGTATCTTGTATCATTCTTAACATCTTTTTGCTTGCTTTGAAATAACAGGTTTATGGTTATGATATGTTTCTTGGGCATGTTTTTCTGGTATACTTTTATTGCTCACAGCAATATTTCTGTGTCTCTTTCATGCATGCGTAGTTTGTTTAGCTTTGTCTGGGATTTTAACTTAGTACTTTTCTGCTGCTCATTTTTCAGTGAAATTACTTCTTCTTAACTTTTAAAATGAAAGTGGGTGTTGGGGAAGCTTTTGTAATTTCACAGATCTCCCTCTTCTGCTATTTATATGTACTGTTAACAGTTGTAGCACTTATTTTCTGGGATTTCCTGACTCTATTTCCTTCTTCCACTTCCGTCTGAACTTTCTCTTTTATTTGCCTCCTTTGTCCTTATCCTGTTTGATTTTGACTTAGCCCAGCAGTTTCTTCTCCAAGAAGGATTCAGTTCTTACCAGAGCCTGGTGGGGCAGTTAGAAAATTCATAGGTGCTAGACTGGTCCAGGCCCTTCAGACCTTTTTACTCTGGGTTTCATGTACTCATCTGGTATCAGAGAAGGCAAAACTCCCACTTTCAACTGCACTCACTGTGCCTTCAGAGAGTCCACTGAATATTGGTTGGCTATTTTGGGGCCCAGGTCTGTCAGATGATGCCCTGACGCTTCCTTCTTCCTCTCACATAGACATGGACACCATGTAGTCTTGTGGTTGTTGGCGGTTTATCCCCACCAACCTCTTTTGGGACTTATGGGGCTACCTTGTTATGCAGCTTTATTATAAATGTTGTCCATGGAATTTTGGTCTTATTTTTACTTTCTTTTTATGTGGGGATTCAGAGAGGTTGAATACCTGTGCTGTCTCCGCCTACGTATTTTCCAATAATCAACTTTGTATGTGTGTTTAATATTAATTATATTTATCTCTGTATCACAAAAGGCTATGCCCTGATTTAATCACTCACCTGTTACTTCTATCATCTAAGTTTTTATGTTTGCCTTTAGTTTATCTCATTTTTTACCAGCTGAGCCACTAGGGGCTCAGATGGTAGAGACTCTGCCTGTAATTCAGGAGACCTGGGTGCAACCTCTAGGTTGGGAAGATCCTCTGGAGAAGAAAATGGCTACCCACTCCAGCATTCAGGCCTGGAGAATTCCATGAACAGAGGAGCCTGGAAGACTACAGTCCATGGGGTCGCACAGAGTTGGACATGACTGAGTGACTTTCACTTTTACTTATCTCATTTTTACTATCATTTTCCTTAACTGTGTCTCTAACATGGAGAGTTTCTATACTTTATTGTATGATAGGCATTAGGTTCTACTAGGTTGCAGAAAGTAAACAGATGGTTACTATGTGTTCATTACCCTGTCTTTGCCTTGTGAATCAGAATTCCTAATCTATGACTGTTTATATAATGAAAGACCTGAGCTTCATAAATGGTGGAGATACATTATATAATTTTTATAGATTTTTTAAAAATCTAAGCAAGACATCCACATAAGGTAAAATTGAAATATCAAAAGCTGTATATCTGTCATTCATTCACTTGAACTATCAGGAAAGGAGAGTATCCAAGCCAAAGAAATAGGAGCAGATTTTTTTTCTCTGAAAATAACTATGCCATAATCAGAGTTGGCCAAGGAGAGACAAGTATGTATGGCTATTTGCTACTTTATAGATTGTAGAAATAATACTTGTCTTACCTTTTCCAATGAAAAATTTAGTGTTAAAATATTTCCAATGCCTCAAGACAGATAATCTACATTTAGAGATTGAACTATTATCCCTAAAATATTTTAAATAGGTCTTGTCAGTTTTAATCTGTGTAATTTGGGCTGAATTGTACCATAACTTAAAAAAGATTTAAACCAAAACACAAGAAATACTAAAATGCCAAGTTCTCCGGCAAAAGTGAAAATATTATTCCTTGAATATTTATGGAGTGTATGGAGTCTCTTTTATATTTTGGAAATATAAAAAAGTGAAGATCCTACCCCTGTTTTCAAGGAAAGAAGACAGCTATCTTTATATAATGAATTGTTCCCAAATGCTAATCAGCATGCAAGTGTCAGAATTTGGGGCAAGTTTTTAACCATTTTTTGATGAAAAATGGCAAAAGATGGACCATATAGTAAATTTTTATAAATCTAAATTTATTTAATTTAAAAGACTGTTCTAAGATTATATCCTTAATACTTTCTACTGCCAAATATCCTTTTGTTCAAGAAATTATAATGATAGTAAATTATAGGATATTTTTTACTGTGCTTACTTAAATAATAAAAGTCAGTAACACTATTTAATTTCCAGAAACTTTAGATTTTAATGATCTGAACACTCAACTCTTGAAACCTGAGTCATTGTAATAATAGGTGCTATTACAACAATATGAACTATGCATTATATAGCAGTAACTAATTCTATGGTGAATTAAAATGATTGTTTAAGTTATAAAGAAATCAAGTTTATTTTTAATTTATAGTAATATTTTTATTTTAATAAATATGTTGCAAAATATTTTCTTCATGTTTCCTTTGTCACTTCCTGGTTCTGGGTCTGAGTTAGTATATACTTTAAAAGAAAATTTTGTTTGCACTGGATAGAAGTAGCAAATTGTTTTAAAGATTTCTTACAGTTAAGTAAAATAAAGATCTAAATATATACATGGCCAAAGATGAGAAACTCAACAAGCAAAAAAATAGCTGCTATCAATACAGGCTTCCCTGGTGGCTCTAGACAGTAGAGAATCTGCCTGCAATGCGGGAGACCCAGGTTCAATCCCTGGGTCGGGAAGATCCCCTGGAGAAGGAAATGGCACCCACTCCAGTATTCTTGCCTGGGAATCCCATGGACAGAGGAGCCTGTGGGGCTATAGTCCATGGGATCTCAAACATGGAAAAGGTGTGCAACTTCACTGGTAATAATGTAAATTAAAATAAGGCAGGTAGGTTGGTAGATATTTAAGGAATGAGCATTCTCAAATCCTATTGTTGGAAGAAAAAACTGATACAAACTTCCTTTAAACTACTTGGCAATATTTATCGAGTCTTAACAATATAGAAATCCTAAAAACCATTAATCTTATTTCTAAAAACCTTTCCTGAGAAAATATTGGAGTCTTGGTTAAATTATTATGAACATGGACATTTGTTGCAATGTTGCCAAAAATTAGAAGTCACATAAATGTCCATAGCAAAATATTTTTAAAATTCTAATAATTTACATATTAGAATATTTATACAATCATGAAAAATCATTTTGAATAATATTTAATAATGTGTGAACATGTTAGAAGGGAACAAAATTCCATATAATAGAGTAATAAATTTGTTTTATATAAGAAAAATATATGAGCATATAATAAAAAATGTTTTCAGTGATTCTTTCTGAGCAACAGAATTATATATGCTTTCTTTTTTTTATTTACTGTATTTCCCAGACCTCCAACAAGAACGTGTTACTTTAATATTTTTTAAAAAATTATTATAGAAAAATCCTGTCCTTTTAAAAAAGGAAATTATAGAATGTAACAGGTTTAGTTTCTGCCTCTGAAGATGAACCTTTTTAAACTAGGCCATGAGTTTAAACCAGAAGCCTAGATATAAGAAGTGTAATTCTTTGTTGGGGACAAATTTTCTTGTTAGTTTCTCTTTGCTGTCTCATCTGTAAAAACACATACTGCCACTCTATGTTACAAGGGTGAAGAGAGAAGAGAAAATTACTAAAATAAAATATCTGTAGCTCTTTATTAATAGGAAAAGAGGTACTTTGATGCCATTACTGAAGTTTCTGTTTTCTGTAAGGATTGCAGAAAGGCTACTGTTTCAATTTTCTATAAGGATTACCAAAAAGCATGTAAAGTACTTACAGAATCAGAGAGAGAAAAAAAGAACTGTGTAAATACAAACCATGATCCTTCTGGCATCACTTCTATTTGTATGTGTTGCAGTATAACCTTGAATATTTGGATGCAAGTCATAACCATGTGATAACCCTTGAAGGATTTAGGGGTCTGATGAAACTTAAGCACTTAGACTTGAGTTGGAATCAATTGAAAAAATCTGGCGATGAAATAAATATGTTATGCAAACATACCACAAGCCTTCTCACTCTTGATATTCGACATAATCCATGGCAAAAGGTATGTAACAGACATGTTTATAAAAAACAATCATTTTTATTTCAAAGCTGTTTTCTCACTATTATTCAATAATACCCAGAAGCAAACTGTCTTTGTCTCAGTAGAGTTCCTTGAAGTATTTCATAAGTTGAATATAATGTATTGATCAAGTGAATCAAATGTTATTATAGAAAAGTCATTAATTTCACATCAGATCTTTTTGCAGCCTCTAATAGTTTGAGAGTATTGTGGTCTTAAGAGCATCAGATGTCATTGCCATCTGAAAACCTTTAGAGAAATTTTATAATGCACTATATATAGCTCAGTGTGCTAGAATCCTAACTGTAGTGAGGCACAGGAACCAAGAATAATAGAGTATTATACTGTGAGAGAAATATACTGGTAAAGGGGGAACAAAGTTGTCACATTCTCTGATAAACCTAAATTATAAAGTCTTATTTATGTTCTGTTATAAAAGGAAATTTGAGCACTGTTTTTTCTCGTCACAAACATATTTAGATTCATGCTAAGGACTTTCAGTATTCAATGATTATATTGAAGAATATCTCCAAGTATTTAAAATAAGCCCCAAGCTTATAATTTCAAGAATACATCTTTTCTTGCTTTTCAAAAATGCATATAGACCGTGTTCAACATTTTAAAAAGGGACTAAAGCATGATTGTTTCTGTTACCTTGGCCATATTACTATGTTCATCCTGTTGTATTTCTCCTTTTCACACCATAAAATTGAAGCATATTTTTCTTTTACCAAATCAGACTTCCTGAATGATCATAACAGAGCTATAGCCCTGCTGCCAAATTAAATGTCAAGAGCTGAAGATCTGTATTGGCTCACCCAATTGGCTGAGTAGCTAACTGCTGATCTAGATAAACAGGAGGCACTGCAGTTCTTTGAACACTTTCCATCACTGTCACTTTTCAGCGGCTAGTGGGATTTCCTCCCTTCACAACAGTAGAAGTATCCAACTTCAAACAAAACAGATTAATTCTTAAATATAATTTAATATCAACTATTATTTGAAGAATTAAGTTAAGCCTTTATTTTTAGACATATATAATAAAGTAGGAGGTGCATAATTTGAATTATGTGGGAAGGAATGAAGAAAAACTCCTTTCCATGTCATAATATTATGTAATATTTTGTAAAAAATTACCTTTTGTTATTTTTCCCAAGCCAGCCACATTAAGGCTGAGTGTTATTGGCAGATTAAAGACTCTTACTCATTTAGATGGAGTCCTCATTTCTGAAGAAGAAGCAACAGCAGCTATGAAATTTATTTCTGGAACAAAGATTACTCAGGTTGGCTTTTACTGTTTAATATTTCTTGTTCTATTTAGAATATACAAATAATATTTCCCATACTCTTATTTCATTATTGAGATTTTGTATTCTCTCTTAGCATGCTAATAAAAAAATTCATCTATAGCAATCACATCACTTGAAAAATTTTTCTGCTTAAATGTATCCTATTAAAATACCAAATGGTTGTATGGAGTCTCATCCCTGGACACTACCCCAAAAATACCTCTAGGGTAACTGTTTTTTTCCTAGTCAACCTGAACTCACCTGAGTCCTTTCTAGAGCCTTCATGAAAATAAGCAACTTTCTGTGGATAAGGTAAGCCTAGAGACCTTGAGAAAGCATTTAGTGACTTATTTAACCTAGTATTGATATTATATGTGTCTGGCTGAAAAAAACAAAACCTATTAACTTGGGGAAGGGGGAATACCTGTATTATCCAGATTAAGAATGCTACTTTAACTAAAGTTGCTTTAATATCCTTAATATCTCCACTCTAGTTATCTAGGTATTTACTTTCTGTAGAATGTTTGAATGTTAATTCCTTAATGTAATGTTTAATTTTGGATCTGTTTAAAGTGAAGGAAAGAAACTTTTTTGTTGATCAAAATATCATTGACTCCTAAAGAAGACATGGGGATTTACCCTACCAGAAATCAAAACTTGCTAAAATCCAGTGTGGATTTGGCAGAGTTAGACAAATAGACCAACACAACAGAATATAAAGACCCAGTGTAGACCCACACATACACGGAAAAGTGATAAATCCAGAGCTGACAGTATAGATTAGGGAGTCTAGTCAATAAAAGGTACTGGGATAACTGCATTAAGGTTTCACTGCAAAACACAAAACCAAAATATTTTAGAAGAAAAGATCAGAAATTATCATTATAACCTTGAATTAGGGAAGAATTTATTATGTAAGAAATAAAGAGCATAAACTATAAAAGATTGGATTTGTCTATCTTAAAATTAATACATCTAATCCTCAAAGGGTAGAAAGTCAAAAGACAAGCTATATAATGGGACAAGAAATTTGCAACATATCTAACTGACAAAATTAGATAAAATTAGACAAAATTAGACAAAATTCTTTATATATCCAAAATATATTAGGAAAAAGACAACCAATCAAACAGAAAAATGAACAAAAGATTTAAATAGACACTTCACTGGAGAGGAAATCAGAACAGCCAAACAACTTAGGAAAAGATGCTCTACCACATTAATACTCAAGATAATAAACATTAAAACTTTAATGAGCTACCAATTTATGGCCACTATTGGGGGAAAAAACACTCTTGACAATACCAAGTTTTAGCAAAGATTTGAAGTAAAAGTTATTACAATTGGTGTAACCACTTTGGAAAACAAATTGACCCTATCCAGTAAAGCTGAATGTATACATACCCTAAACCCAGCAAGTTATATACTCCAAAGAAACTCTTGCATATGTGTACCAAGAGTCATGCACAAGAGTATTCATAACAGTAATGTTTATAATAGCAAAAAAAACCCTGAAATCAGCTCAGTGTTCATTGACTTTGATAAGGAAATACTATATAACAATGACGTATGAATAAACTACAGCTATAGGCAGAAGTGTAGATGAATCTCATAATGTTGAGCAAAAAGCAAGTTACAGAATACAAACATTCAATTTTCACAAAGTTCAAATATGTGTAAGACTAATATTTTATTTATGGATAAAAACATAGGTCTATAAAGAAAACAAGTAGTGGTAGATACAAATTTTGAGATTATTTGATTGCTTCTTAACAGGACTGACTGATTCACTTGAGATGACTGATGGCTTCTGAGCAGCAGAGAAAAAAGATTAGGATGGGAGACCCAGGGAGCTTCTAGGGTATTAGGAATATTCTAGCTCTTAAACTGGTTTCATGGATGAATTACATGGTGTTTGTATTATAATAATCCTTTCACAGTTTTATAAATATTATTTTATTATGGCTAAATGACTGACAAAACAAAAACTGAGTGAGATACATGATTTACAGTATATCAAGTTACTGGAAACACTTTAAGACATAGAAAGTGTCATATTTTAAAATCACTCATTGGATCAGCCACCTGAGAGACAGTGCTTCTATCTGTGTATACATGGGCCTCTCTGTGCTAGTTCCTTATTCATCATGTGTTTTTCTGTTTTATTAGTTATCTCTCTTACGGCATTCTAGTACTAAAGAAGAGAGACCACGGATTCTCAGCACATGGCCTTCTGCCAAAATTCTGACACAGACTTCAAAGTTAGGACCACATTCACATATGAGTGGAAATTGGTACTTGAAGGTAAAAGCAATTCTATTAAACTTAATGTAAAAATCTTAAGTTCAGTTGATTTTAGTCAGCTTGCCCCTTATGTCATAAAGAGGGTACAGACAGGTAATGGGCAGAAAACTGGGAGAGACAAATTAAAATTGAAAGAGAAGTCAAGTTGTGACTGGCTATGTCACAGGGCTAGACATTGGGACTAGGCCTCAATGTTCCAGATGTTCAAGCTGGATTTGGAAAAGGCAGAGGAACCAGAGATCAAATTGCCAACATCCACTGGATCATAGAAAAACCTAGAGAGTTCAAGAAAAACATCTACTTTTGCTTTATTAACTATGCCAAAGCCTTTGACTGTGTGAATCACAACAAACTGGAAAATTCTTAAAGAGGTGGGAATATCAGACCACCTGACCTGCCTCCTGAGAAATCTGTATGCAGGTCAAGAAGCAACAGTTAGAACTGGATATGGAACAACCGACTGATTCCAGATTGGGAAAGGAGTATGTCAAGGCTGTATATTGTCACCCTGCTTATTTAACTTGTATGCAGAGTGCATCATGTGAAATGCCGGGCTGAATGAAGAACAAGTTGGAATCAAGATTGCCAGGAGAAATATCAATAACCTCAGATATGTAGATGACACCACACTTATGGCAGAAAGCAAAGAGGAACTAAAGAGCCTCCTGATGAAAGTGAAAGAGGGGAATGAAAAAGATGGCTTAAAACTTAACATTCAGAAAACTAAGATCATGGCATCTGGTCCCATCACTTCATGGCAAATAGATGGGATAACAATGGAAACAGTGACAGACTTTATTTTCTTGGGCTCCAAAATCACTGTAGATGGTGACTACAGCCATGAGATTAAAAGACGCTTGTTCCCTGGAAGAAAAGCTATGACCAACCTAGAAAGCATATTAAAAAGCAGAGAAATCACTTTGTCGACAAGGGTCCATCTAGTCAAACTATGGTATTTCCAGTAGTCATGTATGGATGTGAGAGTTGGACTGTGAATAAAGCTGAGAACTGAAGAATTTATGCTTTTGAAGTGTGGTGTTGGAGAAGACTCTTGAGAGTCCCTTGGACTGCAAGGAGATCCAACCAGTCAGTCCTAAAGGAAATCAGTCCTGAATATTCATTGGAAGGACAGATGCTGAAGCTGAAACTCCAATACTTTGGCCACCTGATTCAAAGAACTGACTCGTTAGAAAAGACCCTGAAGCTGGGAAAGATTGAAGGCAGGAGGAGAAGGGGATGACAGAGGACAAGATGGCTGGATGGCATCACCAACTCGATGGACATGAGTTTGAGCAAGCTTCAGGAGTTGATGATGGACAGGGAAGCCTGGCGTGCTGCAGTCCATGGAGTCACAAAAAGTCGGACATGACTGGGTGACTGAACTGAGCTGAGACCTCAACAGTGGTCACTCTAGCACAGGAATTTAGGATAAAGGTACACTACAAAACCAATGGGTAGATTCTGATAATATATCAAAATAAACAAGAGGACTTTAAAGCTCAGAGCCAGAGACCAAGTCAAAAGTTTGGATGGTAAGGTAAAAAGAATCAGGAATCCTGGCAAGGGAATAGGGGAACTGGTCAGAATTCACCCAAAGCTAGGGGAAAATGTTATGGATCACCCGCAGCTTCTTGCTTCATAAAGCAGCATGTAACCTCTTGCCAAAGGTAGAAACTGAGTTAACAGAATCTGACCCTTGAAAATGGAAGATATTAGTGCCGTTGTTTTTATTACAGGATACAGAGATATTTAGCTGTGATGCTGGCTCAGTTATAGTCTCAGCTGACCCCATGGGCAGTTCTGGAATTACAGTGGCCCTTTAAATCTGTCCTCAGTTGGGCTGAGAAGGCCAGGCCTTTCTTTGCCAGGCCTTTCTTTCCCTTCATCATTGGGTAGGCGCCAACCTGGGAAGGGGCATGGCCTAGAGCAAGGCAGCTCTCTGCAGCTGATGCTGTCCCTGAAGGGACTGACAGTTGAAGGCTTTCTGCCAATAGCACTACCAGCAGCTGAGACAAGGCCTTCAGTACTGGGAAGCTGACTGGCACAGCTCAGTTCCTACAAAACCATATAAGTCCCTCTTTGAGTTATAATCTCAAAAAATAATCAGAATTTTACTTTTCTGTAAATAAAGAGCTTTGCCATATCTTTAGTTCCTAAAGGATTTTTTTTTGTTACCACATTTGAATTATTTCATTAGCCTTTTTATCTTACAACATTGAATTCTGACATGATTCAGAAATAACATATAAAGTGAATCATTCTACAGATAACTGCCTTAAATTTAGATGGGCAACATCTTTTTGAAATCACAAATTTAGAAAAATTGGAAAATTTGAAATGGGCTTCATTCAGCAACAATAATCTCACTAAAATGGAAGGCTTGGAATCTTGTGTTAACTTGGAAGAGCTCACATTAGATGGAAACTGCATCTCAAAGATAGAAGGTAAGATATTAGATAATCCTAGAGTCTTAAAATATGAATGTCTAATTAAGAAGAGTAAAAAGTGAGTAACACTGATGAAGGAATTTATGAAGAGGAAGATCTTCCAAGAAGTCCCAAGAAGGTTTGGAGTAGAATATTCTGTCTAACTTACTTCAGCCGTGTCCAACTTTTTGTGACCCTATGAACTGTATCCCGACAGGCTCCTCTGTCCATGGGATTCTCCAGGCAAGAATACTGGAGTGGGTTGTCATGCTTTCCCTCCTCCAGGGGATTCTCCTGACCCTGGGTTAGAACCTATATCTCTTATGTCTTCTGCATTGGCAGGCAGGTTCTTTACCACTGGTGCCACCTGTTAAGCCCAGAGTATTCTAAACACCTCTTAGTGGAATCTGTGGTTGGTTACTATATATAATGAGCCCAACTAACTGACTTTCATTTCCTCTGCCTTCCCTCCCATCTTTGAACCCATGTTTACCATCTATTACCAAACCTAGCATGTAACAAACTAGGCAGAAGTCAAGATCTATACCATTGTGTATACATTAATAAATGAATGAATGAGGTATACTTTTGAAAAAGATAAGTACCCATACAGAAACACACACACACACACATCAGCATACTTATCTAGGTATAGGATATTTCTGGATGTGCATTTTGGTAACAGGGTTGTCATTGAGAGAAGGTAAAAGTTGAAAACCAAAGCCTGGGAAAGAGACTTAATTTATTTGCTTTTGAGTTGTTTTTAGCATGTATGTGTACTACCTTTTTCATAAAATAGAAATTTTTACTTTAAAAAATTACATATGCAAAGCAAGCATTAATTACCTTTAAAAATAGAATGTTTAACAGTCATTATACTTTAATGGTGATTAACAATAGTTTATAAAAAAGTGCTTGATCATAGGAATCACTTAGGATACTAATCAAATATATGTACAGATTCACAGGCCTCTCTTCTATAGATTTCAGCTGAGTAAGAGGGTAGAGAGGTGCAGCCCAGGCATCTGTGTTTAGAACCATCACTAGTCTTCCACTCCCATACAGTAGGGTGCGAATTTTGCTTTGTATATACAACTGAGAACCCATTTCCTTTTTATTCCCTGCCATATGCTCATTGAAAGGAAGAATCCTTCAACCTGTCTTTTCCCTATACCCACTTTTCAAAGATAGCTACCCCACTAAACTTTAACAGATATTTACCTTTTTTTTTTCCCCCAAACACAGATAGGCCTAATATCCAATTTGAGGACTTTTGCTTTGATAGTACATCCTAACTGGCCCCAGATTGATTTACTTTCAGCATTTCATAGTCCCATGATAAAGGCTGATGTGAGAGGGGAACATGAATAAAATTTATTGAGTACTCATTTATTTGCCAATAGCTATAACTGATACTTTTCAAATATCACTCTATTTAATTCCATAGCCCTTAGAAGTAGATTTCAGTATATCCATTTCATGGATGAGGAAAATTAGGCTCAGAGTTTACATAATTCTACATAATTTATCTATGGTCCTAAATCTAGTACTGTTACATTTGAAATCGATTCTGACTCCATAGTTCTGGTCTTTCAACTGGATCATCCTATCCACAGTTACAAAGTGTCTACAGTACATATTATATTAATATATAGGGATTAGATTGTAGTGAGAGGTAGCATTTCTGTCTTAAAGTACTTCTAAGCAGAAAAAGGTAGAATTAAAGTTCTTTTTTTTTTTACTGGAAATGATGCCACAGTAAGGAATACTTTCCAGAGCATTATATTCTAGTTCCTTACCCTTAATGTTTTACAGTACGGGTTGGTGATTACTTTAAGCTTTGTGTAGAGCTTTATATTATTGTGATGATGAAAATGTTAATTAATTACATCATTAAAAGGTTATTTGAAAGCTTAATTCAATATTCCTACACAGTGCTTTCCCTTAACATCTTAGAAAAATGAGTCTACTTAGAAATCCAAAGTTAGAATTTAACATATTAGTTGGGACTTAATGCAGATTATATTCTTCTTTAACAAAAGGAAAAACAATGATGATCAATACTATAAAATCTGTCAAGTGACTTGAACTTAGCAAAAGAAAACAGTAAGACAACCAGCAGCTTATTTTTTAAATTAACCTTTCAGTGCTGTCTGAATCTTTTTTTTGAATTTGCTTATTTTTCTAGGCATTTCCAAGCTGACTAAATTAACCCGCCTCAGCATAAATAATAATCTCCTCACTGGTTTGGAAAAGCATACTTTTGATAACATGCTTCATCTGCATTCCCTTTCTCTTGAGAACAATAGAATCACTTCACTGAGTGGTTTACAAAAAGCTTTTACACTAATTGAATTATATGTAAGCAATAACTATATTGCTCTCAATCAGGAGATCTACAATTTAAAGGTGACTATCTGGGGGCACTAATGTTTTTATTTTTCTAAATATTTTATTTATTTATACTACAAAAGTAATACATGCTCTCTATATAGAATTTGGAAAATATAGAAAAATGCAAAGAAGAAAATAAAAATCAGGAAAAACAAGGTTTGTTAAAATGTATCTGCATTCAATTTGTGTACACATACAAACATGTGAGTGTGTAACCATAGTGTCCCCAAGTTGATAGCTTCACAGAAATATATTTTAGTCCACAAATAAAATAACCCGATCCCCCATTCCTTCTAACTGTGCCTTCCTTAAGTATTTCCAAGGATTGCCTAACCTGACTGGGGGATAAGATTCATTAACAATTCCTGTTCTCAGAGCAGTTCTTGATTATCTTTCACTGCTTTCTGGTTCTTATTGATAGCTTCTACCCTCTCTGGTCAGCTTTGCCCAGCTTTGCTTTCTGTAATTCTCCCCAGTAAACCTCTTATATTGAGGCTCCTGTATAACAGGTTTTACTGGAGGTTTTAATAAAATGGCAGTTTACTACAACAAAGAATAGGGATTTACTTCAAATGTAATGTGGGACCTCATAGTTTCTAAAGTTCAAAGGTCATTTCTTACCACTGAGTCTCCCAGTGGCCTGTCTCCTTTTGCTGACAGCACGTTGCTAGGGCTTTATCTCCTGCCAAAAACTTACATCCATTTCCTATCTTTTCTTGCTTGCAAGCTTATCCTCATCATATTCCCCCAATACAACTATTTCTAGAGCTGTAGAGTCAACCTAATCAACAATAGCTACATAATAAACATTTTACATTATAGATGCAGAGTAAGTAGTTTTACCCTCTCTTCCTTCACAGCAAAGGCACATCAAAATATCTTATCTAATAAGGAAGCACATTGAAGTCTGCTACTCCCTTACCAGGCAGAAGCGCTTCAGTTTTATCCCTCATCAGAAGACTGTGTTTTTCATTGCTTCATTTCACTACTTTATTTGTATATGTGCTTGCGTGTGTGCTCAGTCATGTCCAGTTCTTTGAGACCCCATGGACTGTAGCACACCAGACTCTTCTGTCCATGGGGTTTCCCAGACAAGAATACCAGAGTGGGTTGCCATTTCCTCCTCCGGGGGATCTTTCCCACCGAGGGATCGAACTGGCATCTCCTGTGCCTCCTGCATTGGCAGGTGGATTCTTTTACCACTGAGCCACCTGGAAAGCCCATATTTGTATACTACATAATAGCCACATACTATTTAATAGACTGTTATTCCATAAACATAGCATATGTTTTAAACTTTGCTAAGTTCTTTACAAGTCTTTATCATGGGTAATACATTTAGCAGTGGTATCCAAAAAGTGATTCTGATCATATAATATAGACCACTGAAATACTGCACAAAATTATACCTTTAATAGTCTGAAAGTGTACTATAAATAGTACACTCCAAAGATCTCAAATCACTATGGAATGATAGAGTAATTCAAATATTAAAATTCAAGGATGATTAAACTCAAGGGGAAAAACTGGTTAGAGTGAGTGTATATATATGTCACATTAAATGTATGTATTTTTATTATGCAGGGTTTATGCAACCTGGTTATTCTAGACATGTATGGAAACATTATTGTATGGAATCAAGAAAATTACCGGTTGTTTGTAATATTTCATCTTCCAGAACTGAAAGCTTTGGATGGAATCTCAATTGTAAGTTTTTTGTTGACTCATAGCATTTGGTCCAAACTGCATGTTAATATATACCCATAGGTCATAGTCATTTTGAATGTTGCTTTATCACTAGTATGTAACCCAAACTTACTATGCTTATTAAAATCTGGATCCCCAAAGCACATTTTAGATCTGGGTTTTAATTTTTTCTCCTTTGGCCAGTTTTTAATTGTCTAAATGAGGTGGCACAGAAGAGAAGATACTGCTTACATTTACACCCACTGAATTCAATGCCTAAGAAATGAAGAGCACAATTTTATGAGACAGGATAGAAAAAAACTGCCCTGGTGCCCTACCATCTTCTTGGGCCTAAAACCTACTTCCTGTTACCTGGAAAAATACAGTTAAGGTTTAAGGAAAACATATTTGAACCAACGAATGGTATGTCAGCATTACTAGTAAACTGTACTAGTAAAAAATAACTTTTTGTACAGTGTTAAAAAATAACACAGAACATAGAATTGACTATGAAAGCAATATTTGGAAACTTGAATTCTGTAACAAGCAGGTTCATTCAAAGCTTCTGATTTCCGTGTAATTGGATAGCACAACAAATGTGTGGAGAGTAAAAAGCTCCCTGTGTAACATTGCCTAGCACCTATCAGACAATAAAACTCTTCAAGTTTCTAGAAAATTGAGAGATAGTTTATGATTATTTGTGACTTTGAGGTACTCTGATAAGATTACTAATTCTAACCCTGCTTTTTTCAGGACCCTCCTCAGAATGAAGAATCAAAAATATTCTCCCTCAAACATGAACAGTTCTCTAGAATGTTGCATACTGGGTTTTGTTTAGGTGTTGGTTTTCACTGAGGGTTGTTTTTAAAACAGGCATATGAAACTGGTACTGCATGTGTACCAGGGTGTTGTTGAGAATATTATCCTTCCTATCTCTCTATGCCCTCAATTGAAGGGCCACTCAGAAAGTGCTTTTTGAAGTAAGTGTAGAAAAAACATTTTCCCCTAGAGAAAAGTTATGGTCTCCTCGCTGACAATGAATATTATCTAACTATTTTCCTTTTCACTTTGACCACCTTAAAGCTCAGTGCCAAATTTGTGGTTCAGTAACAGAAACCCTGTAGGACTTATGGTCTCTCTTCCTATCCCAACATTTGATCTCTTCTAACTTACATCATTCTCAATCTTCACTATTATTTACATTTTACTATTAGATTATATGTTCCTCTTGTAAGCTGCCACAAATTTTTTGTAGGATGAAGTAGAACATATGAATTAATCATGGGACATGAAGATTAGTCTGAATAATCTAGACTTTGACTGAGAAGTAATGGGAAGGCATTGAAGTTTTTGAGTAGGGGAATAACATAATTCAAAATTATATATTAGGAAATTTAACAGCAGTGTTTAGAGCAATAGACCAAAAAACCAATAGGAGACTATTAGCTTAGTCTAGATATGAGGTACTGAGAAACTGAAATGAACCAACGGGAAATAGTATTAAAAATGGAGAGTTGAAAGTTAGAAATACTAGGAAGAATTGACAGAACTTGGCAACCAATTAAATTTGCAAGATGAGGAAAGGAAAGAATAAAGGAGGTCTATAAGGCTTGAGTCTATGCCAGGAAGAGATATCATAACAGAAATATTATAGGAAGAAAGTAGTTTCAGGAATAAGATGATTAGTGTTGGACACACTAAGTTTTATACAATCGTGGATCATCTGATTGGAGATGGCAAACAGGCAATTGAAAACACAGGACTAACTTTAGATATGGACATTTAATTTACAATTGTTTAGATTTGAAAGTAATTTAAAGAAAGTTGTCTAGTTAAAACCAAAGCATATACCATTGACTAAGGAAAGAGAGTAGAGAAAGTAAAGAAATCTAAGTGAGGCTTTAATACTTTCATTTAGTAAATGTAAAGAGGAAAAGAAGCCACCATAAGTAGTTGTAGCAGGAGGTAGAAGGCAATATGATCCTAGAGTGTTTGAGAGGTAAATAGACATTGACTTTAGAAATAACATGGTCCAAAGCCTATATCTTGTGAATGAACACAAAGAACTCCAGAGAATTTAAATGCCTTATTCCAAGTGGCATGACTTTTTAATAGTAAAGCGCGGACAGCTAAGTCTCACTCTGTCTCCAGGGCTCCGTGGATATATAATCATACCAGGAAGTAAGGTAATGTCACTGGAAGTTCCAACCTTCTAATCATGGTTGATTTTCCTGGCAACCAGTCCCCATTCTCAGGGACTTTCCAAAAGTCATCTTGTTAAGATAAACTCAGGTGTGGTTGAAAGGCTTGTTAGGAATAGCAGCATGCTCCTTTCACCTGATGGTTCTGGGGCTATTTCAGGAATTGAAAACAAAAACCACAATATTATAATAAAAGATTCCAAGATGTGAGAGTTGGAACATAAGGCTGAGCACTGAAGAACTGATGCTTTTGAACTGTGGTGTTGGAGAAGATTCTTGAGGGTCCCTTGGACAGCAAGGAGATCAAACCAGTAAATTTTTTAGGAAATCAATCCTGAATATTCATTGGAAAGACTGATGCTGAAGCTGACGCTCCAATGCTTCGGCCACCTGATGCAAAGAACTGACTCATTAGAAAAGACCCTGATGCTGGGAGAGATTGAAGGCAGGAGAAGAAGGGAATGAGAGGATGAGATGGCTGGATGGCATCACTAAGTCAATGAACATGACTTTGAGCAAGCTCCAGGAGATGATGAAGGACAGGGAAGCCTGGCGTGCTGCAGTCCATGGGGTTGCAAAGAATCGGACATGACTGAGTGGCTGAACAACAACATGGCTCTAATACAGGAAATAACAAGAGTTTTAGGAGCTATGTGCCAGGAACAGTAGATGAAGACCAAATGTATATTTCTTATTATAAATCACAATATCACAGCTATGCCCTTGTCTTTTTACAGCAAAATGATCATAAATTCAAAAGATTTTGGAATATTGCTATAATCCCATTCAGTTATTATACAGTCCATAATCATGGAAATGTCTCCCAGGGTGAGGCTACTCAGATTTACAGCTTTCCATTGGAGACTTTTGTCAGTTTCTAAAACAGGAGTAGTCTCAGAAAATATAGCTTCACCCTTTCAAGCATCTGCTATTATTGAACTGAGACAATATCAACTCTTGCTCTACCCTCTTTTGAGGTAGTATAAATAATACTGATTTCCCTCATTACATTACATATTTATTAATTCCTTTACCCACAACTTCCCTTCCCCATTCTTTCCATTTATACCCATATTTTTCCACTTCTGGAAGGGATATTAGGTTTGGCCACTGTGCTGGTCTAGATTGCAGACAGCTATACTAGTCTACCATATATCTCCCCTCAGCCCACCTCCCTTAAAATAGGGCGAGGTGATAATAGGTGCAAAACTAGTGGGCTATTTTTGCTACCAGGGAATACAGATACATTCACTGTTAATTCCAATTTTGCCAGATGGAGTGAAGGTAAAATCTACCCCCATTAGGCCTTTAGGAATTCTGACAAGATGTTTAAAAGCATAGTTTCTTGCTTAAAAATGATCCCTATTTCTAGCACTTATAATTGCAGGTGAGTTTCTGTGACCACTGCATCGGGTAGGAAAAAAAAGTTGAGGTGATGTGAGGAAGAAGGAAAGAGAAAGTATAATGATTTTACCAGCATCATCCTTCCTTAGTAAGAAGTGCATAGTCATATCAGCATCCTTCCCCTGTCCCCAGATCCACCAGAAAAATAGATGTCTATCCATCGGGGACACTCTTTTTAGCTCCACTCATGTTCAGTGAGTGTGAGCACACTCAGAAAGACGTGTAAGCCAGACCCCAGACTGTCATGATTCTATCTCCCCCTGTTTTAGACAACTAATGTTTTAATTGCCCACTCCAATTCTCTATCAAACTACTACTCTGAAAAGGATAGTTTCCTGCCCATTGTTGCACAGTATGGCTGTAAAGCATGTTCCTTGGTCTGAAGAAATAACCATCAACTGTCCAAATTGGTGTCATATCTTCAGTTCCAGCTCTTTTATAGCACTATGTGCATTTGCATTTACACTGGATAAGCAAATCCCAGTCCAGGGTCAGTATCTATTCCTGCCAGAACCTATTTGTAGCTCCCCAGGGCTACCAGCCTCAGTCTGACTTGCCAGCTCTGTTCAGGGCCTTCCCACAGGGAAATCTGCCACACAGCCATCTGCAGTCTCTGTCTCTTTTGCTGGCAGATGGAACAGTGCTTATTGGCATTTTGTACCTAAGAGGGTGCAAGAGGAATATCTCTAGATTCAGCCTATCTCTGCATTGCTATAGACCCCCAATGTCCACCTATTTTATAGACGCAGGTGGCCACCTTAAGTGAACATATGGGTCTATCTGCTTGTCTATTTCAATCACCTTCCAAAATTGAAAGTGAGTTCAGATGGGCATCAACATGCCCTACTTTAATATACCCACCGATTTCCATAGGGCTGTGCCCCATATGGACATCATTTTAACAGGTCAGGTTTTCATCATTCTCCTGCCTGACCATATGGCCAAGCAGGAACAGTAGATGAAGGTTTCTTATTATTATCAGAGTAACACACCAGAGAACTCACCACAGTGTTGTTCCTCAGGTCCCAAGGTCCCTAGCTGGTCTGCCTTCTTCTCTGAACCTTTCAGTCTCTTATGTGTATTTTATATGTAATATCCAGAGGGTTTGGCTATACTTAGTATGAAATAGGGAGAAATGAGTCCACTCCATTTTGACCTGGAACCAAAGAATTAAAGACATTCAGTCATTTGTAAACCTGGAGAAGGGCGTGGCAACCCACTCCGCATTCTTGCCTAGAGAATTCCATGGACAGAGCAGCCTGAGGGGCCGCAGTCCTTGGGGGTCGCAAGGAGTTGGACACAACTGAGTGGCTAAGCACAGCAGAGTCATCTGTAAGAGAGGACATCACTTTCTAAATACCCTCATATACAGGAACCAGCAGAGACTGAGTGTGCAAAAGATTTGTTTGGTGGCAGACTGACTTCTGATATGATTGCTGAACGACAAGGACACTCAAACTTCACCCAAATGCAAGAACTAAATTGGACTTCATCATCCATCAGGTAGAATCATTTTAGTATGTGATATTCGATATTATGAGGGCTTCCTTGGCAGCTCAGTGGTAAAGAATCCATTCGCCAAGCAGATGTGGGTTCAATCCATGAGTCAGGGATATCCCCCAGAGTAGGAACTGGCAACCCACTCTGGTATTCTTGCCTGGGAAGTCCTGGCACAGGGGAGCCTGGCAGTCGCAAGGACAATGAGGTCGCAAGTTTCAGACATGACCAAACAATGGCAATTTGATACTATAATTAAATGTGTAGTCATTATTATTTTTGTTAAGGTTTATAATTTATACATCTTACCCAAATATAGCCAGTAATTCAGAAAATCGACTACTCTACTTCACAATCTCATATTAACTTTACCATCTTTGAAGTGCATTAATAACTTTTATTATCACACATTGTAATTAAAGATGTCATCAAGCTCTTTCTAAGACTTTATATTTCTATTTTATTTTATAACCAAGTTTTTTAAATGGGAACATACTATGTTTGCTCCTCACTTTGTATCACTCTAATCCAGCATTATCTGGCTTTCACTGCTAGCATTCCTCTGATGCTGTTCTCATGAATGTTTTCATTGTTAGATAATGATAATGGTTAATAAATCCTTTTCTCTTCTTTTTTCTATTCTGTACTCTTCATAGGCAGATATTTCAGCCGCTGTTTCAATTTATGATGAACCCCTAATTTAGCCCGAACCTAGGCTCCTCATTTGAATATTTGTTCCCTAGATAGCATCGAGGAAATAACATTCTTCTGTTGTTGCCCAGGCCAGAAATCTAAGGTCCACTGCTCTCTCTCCTTTGTCCATTTTTAATTAATCACTACATTCTACAGAGTCTGTGTCTTAAGTATGTGTCCTAGTTCCCCTCTACCTTCTTTCCATAGTCATTGCCATTGTCCTAGATTGGAGAATTACCTATTTAGAAACTATTGTTTTTTGTCTCATATAACCTTATCTGCAAGTCCATCTATTATCCATACTGCTTACTACAATGCAAGTTTTATCAGATCACTTCCCTTCTCAGCATCGTTCAGTGGCTTTCCACTGTAGAGAGAATAAAATTTTTAAATCTCTTTGTATGACATGGGAGGCCCTTTCATTACCACTCCATTTTTATCTCTTGTAATCATTACCTTTACTGCACCATAACTCTTTATACTCCAGAAATTCTAAAATATTCTATTCCTTAATCTCAGTCACAAAATGCTGTTTCATGTTTCTGCCTTTGCTTGCAGCTGTTTCACTGCCGGGAACTCTTTCTTGCCTGACAGATGCCGCAAATTCTCCAAGTCTCATTTTAAGATCTTTCTCCCTCGTGAAGTCATTTCTGACTTCCCCAAATAGGTTTTTCTTTCCCTAAAATGCCGTTATACCTAATCGTATTGTGGCAATTTTCCTTTTTTTATTATAGTTTTTCTGTATCCCATTTCTTGAGTGCATGGACAGTGTCTTTCATATTTGTAGACTTTCTAAACACATTGTCTGCACTTAGGAAATAACTAATGAAAACATGTTGAAAGAATAAGAAACTTACTAATGGATGAAGTATGTTATAATTATAACTTAAGAGTTGAAGATTTAAAGATGTGGTTAGGCTTTTGTGCAGCAAAGGAAACCATCAACAAAATGAAAAGACAACCTACTGAATGCGTAAAATTATTTGCAAATTATATGACCAACAAGGGGTTACTATCCAAAATATATAAACAGTTCATACAACTCAATGTTAAAGAAAAAACCTGATTAAAAATGGGCAGAAGATCTGAACTGACATTTTTACAGAACTAACATATGACCCAGCAATTCTATTCCCAGGCATTCATCTGGAAAAAAAATAAAAATTACTAATTAAAAAAATATATGCACCCTATGTTCATAGCAGCATTATTTACAATTGCCAAGATATGCAAGCAGCCTAAATGGCCATAAACAGATGATATGTGAGATGTAGTGTATATATATGTATATATATATATATATATATATGTACAATGGAATAGTACTCAGCCACAAAAGAGAACAGAATTGTGTCATTTGCAGCAACATAGGTGGAGGGTATCACGCTAAGTGAAAATAAGTCAGACAGAGAATGACAAATACTGTATGATATCACTTGTACATGATCTAAAAAATAAAACTAGTGTATATAACAAAAAAAAGACTCTCAGATACAAAGAATAAACCTGTGGTTATTGGGGAGAGAGAAGAGGGGAGCAAGATAGGGTTAGAGAGTGAGCTACATATGCCTGTATAAAATAAGTAAGCTACAAGAATATATTGTACAACAAAGGGAATATCGCCAATATTTTATAATAACAGTGAATGGAGTATAATCTTTAAAAATTGTGAATCACTATGTTGTACATCTAAAATTTATATAAATTTGTACATCAACTATACCTCAATTTAGAAAAGAAATAAATGAAATAAATTTGTATATCTTATAAAGAAGGAATCAGAGCAAGGTGATTTAACTTTATGCTCTTCTTCATAGCTCAAGTGAAGGTAAAACAGTTTTAAAGCTATCAACTAGGAATCAAGCATTCTGACTAATTATCAAAACATCCTTATAAGGTGGAATGCCATAAAAGTTTTCAGGAGATTACACAGAAAACTGTTTTCAAAGACCTTATCTACTTCCTCCTTTTCTTCCCATCCCAAATCCCTTCCTGGCATTTCAGAAATAACCCGTTTCATATATATCCTCTACAGTTTACAACTGAAAATCTTTTGGATTACCATATCAACTTCACTATGATTTCATGAGCACATATGTGAATTTATAAAGAAATTGGATGTTTCTTTTGTGATAGTGCTGTTTATGTGGTAATAGACATATTTCTTAAGTCAATGAAGTTCTATGTCATTTTTCTTACACATATACCCAACAAAAATATGTATTTACCTGATCATTTGATCCATACATTTTATATTATGGCAATTCTTTCTCATAGAATTTGTCAGATAAATTTTTCAAATGGCTTTGGTGTTACATGTGAGAGATTTCACCAATATAATATGCCTATTAAAGTTATAACTACATTTACTCTGTCTCAATTCAGAACTGTGGATTTGATTCCAGTTGACCAATTTAGAAATGTGTGTAATGTGAATCTCCAGAACAATAATCTTACCTCATTCAGTGGATTAATCTATCTGCCTAATGTGAAGGTGAGTCACTCACAAATTTTCTTTTTTTCTTTTAAGATTTCCAGTGCAGGTTGTAATCTTCTTTACTTTGGACTAAAATGTATATTCATGTCATTAAAGAAAAGAAATTATTTTTCCTAAAGCATTTTTTCACCAAGAAAAAAAGTATTACTTCCCAAAGTGATTTCAAATGACCTTAAATTTTTTTTCATTTATTTTTATTAGTTGGAGGCTAATTACTTTACAATATTGTAGTGGTTTTTGCCATACATTGACATGAATCAGCCATGGATTTACATGTGTTCCCCATCCCGATCCCCCCTCCCACCTCCCTCCCCATCCCATCCCTCTGGGTCTTCCCAGTGTACCAGCCCTGAGCACTTGTCTCATGCATCCAACCTGGGCTGGCGATCTGTTTCACACTTGACAGTATACTTGTTTCAATGCTGTTTTCTCAGAACATCCCACCCTCGCCTTCTCCCACAGAGTCCAAAAGTCTGTTCTATACATCTGTGTCTCTTTTTCTGTTTTGCATATAGGGTTATCGTTACCATCTTTTTAAATTCCGTATATATGCGTTAGTATACTGTATTGGTGTTTATCTTTCTGGCTTACTTCACTCTGTATAATGGGCTCCAGTTTCATCCATCTCATTAGAACTGATTCAAATGTATTCTTTTTAATAGCTGAGTAATATTCCATTGTGTATATGTACCATAGCTTTCTTATCCATCGTCTGCTGATGGGCATCTAGGTTTCTTCCATGTCCTGGCTATTATAAACAGTGCTGCGATGAACATTGGGGTACACGTGTCTCTTTCAGATCTGGTTTCCTCGGTGTGTATGCCCAGCAGTGGGATTGCTGGGTCAAATGACCTCAAATTTATGTGATTGTCTTATAAGCAGTGAATCTTCCTCTCTAAAAGGATATGGGATGGAAAGCTGCCTCTGTCGTGAGCGAAGTTGGAGGGCACTGTGGTTCTCAAAGTAGCCTCATTGCCTCCTGTCCTATAGCTTTGAGACATCTACTAAGGCCTTTTAAACTTAGGGAAATAACAATCTCTCCAACTAAAGAGTTATTTCATGTAAATAAAGAAGTCAGGAATACAGATTGAGAAAATTGAGCAGCTTTCTAGGGTCTCCATTACTTCATCTGAAATGGTGTCATTTCTCAGCATGTCAAATAATAAAAAACACTTTCAAAGTCAAATCCAGACAATTTGGGACATAAAAATTTGTCATTGTTAACACTAACATATTAAATTATGTTGTATAGTCCAAGTTTTATCCATAGCTAAATATATCTTAATATGTTTTTATCTTTATCCATAGCTAAACTATCTTAATAGTTTTTAGGATGGTGATAACCTCAAACCAAAGATATATATACAGCATCATTCATATTTTAATAGCTGAGTAATCATGGATTCTTTCTGTAGGTGTTATGCCTAAACTATAACCATATTGAATCAATCATACCCCGACTAAAGCCTCAGACTCACTTGACCAGTAGACAACTGCTCTACCAGAAAGTGCCTTCAAGTGGCTATGGGCAGCAAGGAACTTCAAAAATAAACAGGTATTATTCTTTTTTTACAACTATAAATAATTTTGGTTGGGAATTTTAAAAGCAGTTAGTCATATCAATGCCAGTAGTAACATACATTTAGCTTATTTAATGGAGAAGGCAATGGCAACCCACTCCAGTACTCTTGCCTGGAGAATCCCAGAGATGGCAGAGCCTGGTGGGCTGCCATCTATGGGGTCACACAGAGTCAGACACGACTGACACGACTTAGCAGCAGCAGCTTATTTAATACTTAGTAGCTGCCTAGCAAAAATAAACTTTGTAAATAAAAAGATACCAAAATACTCCTTTGTTATTGTTTTTTCCCTGCTTTTTCCATTTCATACCCATATTGTAAAAAAAATGAAAAAAGTAAAAGAAAAAACCTTGTATGTTTAAGGACTGTGGGGTTTTTTTTTGAGATACAATTCACATACCATAACACTTACCCTTTATGTACAATTCAGCATTAGTCATGAGGGAAATGCAAATTAAAACCACAATATGATACTTCTTTAACTCCATTAGAATGGCTGTAATAAAAATTGTAGACATCTAAGTGTGAAATTCCTGAGTCAACTTCTTAAGAAACCGCCACACTCTTTTCCAAAGCGGTTGTATCAAATTCTATTACCAAAAAAAGTTTTGAGGGTTCTAATTTCCCCACATCCTCACTAACATTTGTCTACATTTTTTATTACAGCCATCCTAATGGATTTAAAGAAGTATCTTACTGTGGTTTTAATTTGCATTTCCCTTATGACTAATGTTGAGCAGCTTTTCATATGCTTATTAGTCATTATTTTATCTTATTTGGTGACTGCTGTTTAAATATTTTGCTTATTTTTCAGTTATGCTATTTGGTTTTTTATTATTAAATTCATCAAATATTCTGGATACAACACCTTTATCAAATAAATGATTTACAAGTATTTTTCTCTAAATGTGTGTCTTTTCTTTATGTTTTCTTAAATGATATCTTTTAAAAGAATTTTAATTTTGATAAAGTCCAATTTATCAACTTTTTCTTTTACAGATTATGATGTTGTTGTACCTAAGAACTCTTTGCCTAACCTAAGGTTACAAAGATTTTCTCATGATTTCTTAAAAAAAATTTTTTTCCCTTACGTTTAGGACTATAATCCATTTTGAGTTTATTTTTGTATATATTGTGAGATAAAATGTGAGGGCTAAATCGAATAGCCTTGGTAACTTTGTTGAAAATCAATTGACTATAACTGTAGAAGTTTATTTCTGGACTCTTAATTCTATTCCATTGATCTGTGAGTCTGTCCTTTTGCGAGTTCCAGACTGGTTTGATTACTGCAGCTTTATAAGTTTTGAAATCAGGAAATGTAAGCCCTCCAACCTTGCTCTTTTCAAAGATTATTTTAGATATTCTGGGTTGTTTGCTTTTCCTCATAAATGCTATGATGAGATGGTTATTTTCTGAAGAAAAAGAAAAGGGAGAAAACCTGCTAGACTTTGATAGAGATTGAATTGATTCTACTAATCAATTTTGGGAGTACTACTGTCTTAGCAGTAATAGTCTTCTACTGTGTGAACATGAGATTTTTTCTATTCATTTAGATCGTTATCTCAGCAATGTTTTGTAGTCTTCTGTGTATACATTTTGCACTCCTTTTGTTAATTTTTCTGAAGTATTTTATCATTTTTTATAATTTGTGAACAAAGTCTTAATTTCATTCTCAGTTATTACAGATGTATAGATATTCAGTTGATTTTTGTATATTAATCTTTTACCCTTTATCTTCATGAATTAATTTATTGGTACAATGATAGTTTTTGTTTTGTTTTGTTTTGTTTTGGTGGATTCCTTCAGATTTTCTAATTACAAGATCATGTCATCTGAGAATAAAGACAGTTTTACCAATTTCTTTCCNACATTATACCAGTAAATTTTAGGATTTAGAATGGAGTGCAATTTACTCTCTCCTGGTGTATGATTGTAGGGCAGAGGCTATTTCTGTACACAATTTCTACTTTAGTCATTATACACTGTAAGGAATATATGATGGCGAGTTCGGTACTGCCACGGGTAGGCTTCTTAGATAGTAGAACGCTGCATGGAAGGGGCTCTGGATGTGCCAGAGTGATCATTCGGAACCAAGAGCTTATTAGTGGATCGATGCTTTACCTTTTGGTAAAGTAGAATCAAGCGAGTTCTGGACTTAAGCTGATACCTGCTATTCACCTAATTGCACAATTCGTTTCACCAAGCAAATCTAGTTAGGCCTGCCCTGAAGAGACGATGCTTTCCTATAGCTCTAAAAATCCCCAAAGGACCAGTTAAACAACAGCAAAGCCTCTAATACAAGCCTGGGAAATAGGAGAATCAGTTCTATGAAACCTATCTTGTTAAAAAAAAATTTTTTAGACAATATTCTAAAATTCCACACGATGGAGTCATTACTCCATGAAGGAAACATTTTTCTTAGTTACCTTTTATGCTTTCATTCATTTACTCAACTAGTTATTGAGCATCTACTATTGAGTCTACTGTGCTAGGCACTGGGTATATACAGGGAAATGGCAATAAATGGTTCCTGCTCTCAAAGAGAAAGAGACTAAAGGAGACAGATATTAAACTAATAGATCGCCAGTCCAGGTTGGATGCATGAAACAAGTGCTCGGGGCTGGTGCACTGGAATGACCCAGAGGGATGGGGTGGGGAGGGAGGTGTGAGGGGGGTTCAGGATAGGGAACACATGTAAATCCATGGCTGATTCATGTCAATGTATGGCAAAAACCACTACAATATTGTAAAGTAATTAGCCTCCAACTAATAAAAATAAATGAAAAAAAAAAGACATTGGCAAACAAATTTCTAAAGCTAGGGAGAGGATAGTGTTGTGACCACTCTGAGACATAAAAATGGAAACTTTTTCAAGTAGTGGTACTGGACCACAGATCAGAACTGGAGATGTATAGTTTAGAATTATCCCAGTGGAGGTTATAGGTCAAGTCATAGTATATGTGCTTATTTAGGAAATAATGATAGAAGAGAAAGAATGAAGCACCAAAAAGACATGTGGAGACACAACTCCCCCCACTACCTGTCAATAATTCCCTTCCACACCCCATCCCCAGCATTAAGAAGGCTGGGGAAAAAAGAACCAGCAGAGGAGTCATTAAGAAATTTTGAAAGAAAACCAAGAAATACAAACTCTCGATGTCAGGAGAAAAAGGGTGATTGACCAAAGTCAAATGATGAAAAGAATGCGGCCTGTGAAAAGAATATTGGATGTAGACAATTGGATTCAACAAAAAGGAGACCACTGGTAACCTTCAGAGTATCAGATTTGGAAGTGTGGGAAATTATTGGATAGGCAGCAAAAACAATAGACAGAGGTTAGAGGCTGCATGTTCAAAGAACTTGTCCTTGAAAAATCGGTAAGAAATGGTAGCTAGTAAAGTTATGAGCGTATTTGAAGGTTTGTAAAGAGGTCAGTTAGGTTAAAGATACAGAACAGGAGGAGATAAAAAATTCTAAGGTCAGTCTAAAGGGAGAAGAGGGTAAAAGCTGTAGAGAAGTACAGAAATGTGGGCAGTAATAAGATAAGGTTATATCAGATATATCAAGTTATATCAGGATATATCAGAGTTAATGAACCTACATTTCACCTGCTGCATTAAATTTGCTAAGATGGTGGAAAAGTCTTTAGGGAAAGGGCAGGGTGTGGCTGTAGGGAAGCAAGTTAGATTCTTAAGGATTAAGAGCTAAATTTATCTAAAATGTAACTATCTAGTTAAATAAGTGGGAATTTTCAAAGAGTGGCAAATTCTACTAGTCATAGAAATGTAAGATCCCTGAAACCACATTTAGCATTGTTGTTTCAGAATTCTCTTTCTTAAATATGTTTAATGAGCATTCTAAAGTGAATAATTCATTCTAAAGTGAATGCTACTATAGATATTATTCAACACTTAAAGCTATCTCATGTGATTTTTATACCACTGGATTTAAAATATTAAAGTGACAGTCCAAATACATAATTTTTTGAAAGTGATATACACCTGAGTCATTTTTCTTAATCTGACTTAATAGACTTTTTTTCATTTATAAGTAAGGCACTGGTAATGTTTCAATTTAACTGTGTGATTTAATTCTGTGAGAAATTTTATTGAAGGTTATGATGTTATCAATTTATCTAAAGAATAAAATAAAATAAGATAAATTTCCCATATTTCATCCATTCTGAAACACCCCCTTTAATATTTTAACATCTTGAAATCAGGTGGTATCTTAATTGATGGCATAGTTTATCTAGCTGAGCTTTTTTTCCCTTTCTTATATATAATATATATGTCAATATACAAAATATTGACATATCTTATCAATTGTTGGCATCTTAAATTCTATGAAATATGTTAAATTACAAAGAGAAGAACTCCAAGAAAGTGGGATGACATATTCAATAATGTATTAGTTTTCTAGGACTGCCATAGAACAAAGTACGACAGACTGGATGATTTCAACAACAAAAGTTTATTAAAGATGTCAGCAGGGTTGGTCACTTCTGCGGCCTCTCTTCTTGACTTGTAATTGTACTCTGTATCTTCTCATGGTCTTCCCCTCTGTGTCTATGTCCTAATCTCCTCTTCATATAAAGACACCAGTGATACTGGATTAGTGCTCACCTAATGACCTCATTTATTTAACATTAGTTACCTTTTTAAAGACCCAAATACAGTCACATTCAGAGGGACTAGGGATTAGGACTTCAACAGATAAATATGAGGAGACACAATTCAGTCCAATAATAAACAAGGAAGATAAATAGTGGGCAAAAGACAGAATGGCATAGTATAAGCAGCAGCATTGTAAAAGGTCTAAGTTATGCCTAGTGTTGCTACCTTCATGTCATTCAGCAAGACAATTTCTCTGACCCTCAGTTTTCTGATGATTAAAAAATGATAATATTTTCCCTGTCCTAATTTGAGAATCTAATAGAAATAAAAGCATTTGGTCAACTCAAGGTTCCTCTTCTTATATAAGTTATATTTACAACTATTGATTGCTACAGCAGAGAGAAATCATAGGTTATAATGAAAGAATTGATGTTCTAAAAAAATAATAAATTCTTAATTTTTTAATGTAATTGAAGTTCAAAAATATGTTGAGAAGGAGTTAACAGCATGATTAAGGTATAACTAACATACAGCAAATTAGTTTATTAATACAGCATAATTAGCAATGCAGCAAATTAGTTTATTTTAATAATTAATATATCTATTTGAATGCTTATTAGAATAATCCAGTATACTCAGGAAGCATATCTTTTTTTTTTCTTTTTAACTACTTCCTAGTACATTTTGGTCTTTTTTTGTTTGTTTTTTTGGTTTTCATTTTATTTAAGTATAGTTGATTTGCAATGTTGTGTTAGTTTCTGGTGTACAGCAAAGTGATTCAGTTATATATGTATAAATATATATATTTATATACATATATATTCTTTTTCATATTATTTTCCAATATGGTTTAGCATGGGATATTAAATATAGTTTCCTGTACTATACAGTAGTTCCTTGTTGTTTATCCATTCTATAGAATGGATGTATATATATATATATATATATAAAATAGTTTGCATATGCTAGTCCCAAACTCCCAATCCATCCTTCCTCCACTCCCTACCCCCTTGGCAGCAAGGGGGAACAAGTCTGTTCTCTATATGTCTCTAAGTCATTTCTGTTCTGTGAATAGATTCATTTGTGTCATATTTTAGATTCCACAGAGTTTCCCTCATAGCTCAGTTAGTAAAGAATCCGCCTGCAATGCAGGAGACCTTGGTTTTATTCCTGGGTTGGGAAGATCCCCTGGAGAAACAATAGGCTAACCACTCCAGTATTCTGGCCTGGAGAATTCCATGGACTGTATAGTCCATGGGCTCGCAAATTGTCAGACACAACTGAGTGACTTTCACTTTCACTTTGGATTCCACATATAAGTGATATCATATGGTATATGTCTTTCTCTTTTTATTTCACTTAACCTGATAATCTCTAGGTCCATTCGTGTAGTTGCAAATGGAATTATTTCATTCTTTTTTGTGGCTGGGTAATATTCCATTGTATACATGTACCACATCTTTATCCATTCATCTGTCCATGGACATTTACATTGTTTCCATGTCTTGTAAATGGATCTTTTAATACTTCACTTTAAAAAAATCATTTGATAAAAATAGTTAAACAAAGATAGTTAATTTATTCAGTTTGGGCTCACTTGACATATCATGAGTTACCTTTTTTCAGGAAATGAAATTAGTCAAATTGAAGGACTTGACAACTTAGAAGTCCTTCAAGAATTGGTAGTGGACCATAACCGCATCAGAGCATTTAATGATAGTGCCTTTGCCAAACCAAGCTCTCTGTTGGCACTTCACCTGGAGGAAAACAGACTGCGAGAGCTGAGCAAATTACAACCTTTGGTAAAACTAGAGAAACTCTTCCTAGGATATAATAAAATCCAGGTAACATTATTTTGTTTTGTTATAAGATTTGCAAGACTTAACCCCTCTAAACAGAAAGCTGTCAAACATACCAATGAATATTTTGCTAGTGAGCTACTTATCATTTATATGACATGTAAATACTCTGGGATGCAGAAATGCTCACCCTACTTCTAGACTTATAAACCTGACCAACCCACATGCATCCACCTGGATATCCTCTAAGAGATCTTTTTAGTTCCTGACTACTCTTGGTCCGAGCTGTTTGTGCATCTCAACCCCAGACTCCCTCTGGGCCTCTAAATTTAACATTTGTACTTGGTCTACCTGACATTTGAATCAACTCCTGATAATGAACTTTGACTTGGCTTTAATATTCCATCTTTCCCCACTCAAGGCTGCCTGCCTTTCTTTCACCTGATCATAATTCAGCCTATTTCCATTAGGCCACTGCCCTAACCAGCCCTGCCCAAGCTGTCTTCTGAGACAGTATGCAGATAAGAGGTATATACATAATCATACACAATCCTAACATGTCTTAGTATTTTGCTGATGATTGGTTAGCCCTCCTTGTACCAATTTTGTTATTTCTGCCCATACCTCTAAGACAACCTTGAAGACAAACTGAACTGTGTACTGCCCTGCAAGGGCAGGGACCAAGTCTTTCTTGCCCAAATTTGTATTAGTATATAGCATTGTGCCTGGTACATAGTAGATACATGATTAGTATTTGTTTGTGGCTCTACTTGCTGAAGTTCAGGAAGATTTTCTGGAGTGATATAAAAGCCTGAGCAATACCCTTTTCTACCTAACAACTAGGAAATATATATATACAGAGAAGATAACATACAATTAATACATCAAGGTTCAAACAACATTCATCTGAGAAGATGAATGCCAAAGCTGGCAACAGTTCTTTCAAAGCTTTATCTAGAAGAAATCTAAATTAGGAAAATCGCATTCCTATAGGAACTCTTTCCACTGATAGAAATTGAGCTAACACAAAGGATTTATCAAATCAGACTTAAAGGAATCTGAGACTTTACCCCCAGTATCAAGCTTTACTAATAATTTCAAGGATACACGTGGTTTGGGGCCTTCCTGTGGCTTCTCTAATTCTACTTCCAAGTGATCTAAAATAGGTCTACAATTTTTTTATAGTTACTTGATGAATTGGCTAAACCCACTTGTCATTCCAAATAAGAATAGGAGCATATCAATAGCCATTTCATTACTGTGAACTAGCAACTTAAGCTAATTGTGTTGCCTAAATTTTGTCAGCAATAGCATTTTAGAAATAATTTTGCAAAAACTAAAATGTATTTGCAAACTTTCACCAATGTTAAATAATGATAATCTCATTCAGTAGCAAAAGCAACTCATTTAACTAGAAAGACAGTTTTTCAACCATATATATTCCCAGCAAATATGTCAGTATTCAGTCTATTTGACATGACATGCTCCTTCCTGATTAAGGTTGTGCTTGATATATACCTTTGAAATTGTTTAGACTAGACTTGCCTCCTTTTCCACACATCTAGGTCAGTCCTCTTAGGAATTAACCAAATATAATCTGAGTTTTAGAATAGATCATAACTCTTCTGAAAAAAATATGGTCTTTCCTAACAAGGGCTGCTGTATGGCCTGTTTTCCATGTTGGCACATCATCTTTACCCAATCATGTATTTGGAATCAATAGTAAACAGATCTATCTTTAATCAACAATGCAGAATATTGTCACTCAAGCTCATTTCAGAAGATTCAACTCATTACAATCCAACACCTACATGTAATAACTTCAAATCAGCATATATAAGATGTTGGGTAACCAAATAATAATTTACTGCTTAATTTTTAATAGGATATGGCAGAACTGGAAAAACTTGATGGTATCTCTTCCCTCAGAGAACTTACAGTTTATGGCAATCCAGTGAGTGTTATTTTTCTAACTTATCAGTTAATTTACTTTAAATGTAATCTATAGTTGTATATAATTTATTTTTATATACTTTGAGAAAATATTTAATTTTATCTGTTTCCACATGCATAGACAAGTTATCCAAGTACAAGTTATTGACTAGTGTCTTCTTCCAACTGATTACAATATAAACTGCCATTGTCATGTACAACAGGGTCTACTTCTTGGTTCTACTTTGCATTCATTGGTCTATTTGTCAGTCCCTATAACAAGATCAGTCTATGTTAATTACTAAAGTTTTATATTAAGTCTTGATATCCAGTAGAGAAGGAACCTCTAATTTTCCCTCTCTTCCTCCTTCTCTCTTTTTTTCTTCACTGTCTTAGCTATCCTTGGCCCTTTACACTTCCTGTGAGCTTCAGGAAACAGCTTCTCAAAGTTATATGAGAATCTTGTTGATAATTTAATTGGAAATTGGAATTGCATTGTATTTATAAATTAATTTTGGGGAGAATTTGGCACTTTTACTGTTGGAGTCTTTGAAGGGATAAAATAAGCAACTACCCTTACTCACCTAACATTTGAACACATTGAGAAATATGACAGTGGCAGACAGAGAGACTGTTTTGCTTAGTTTAGAATTTTGACAAAGCCAAATGGCCCTGCCAACAGTTGCCAGAATTAATCCTGATGACTCAGTAGCGGGAATGCTTGACTGAGGCCTTTCCACATGGAAGGAGAGCTTCTCCTGCAGGAGCGAAAGGCATTCTCCCAGCAGTAAGCTCTTTCTGAAGAGAAAAGACAGGAACTAAACATGACCAGTTTAATCTTCCCAGATTTATCAGTTAAGTCACTCTACTTCCCCAAGTAGAGGGGTGAAGGGACTGAGAGAGCTAGTAGTGCCACGTCACAGAATTACTTCCACCAAGAAAGAAACACAGTAAGCAGTCTCCCCAATACTTTAAGCTTTGATCCTTCTCATTCACAAACATAAATATCCCTGTGTTTATTTTATGTTCTTCAATAAAGGTCTATGCTTTTCTCCTAAAAGTTTTAATCATCTTTGGTTTAATCATCCTGTTGTTGTTGTTTTTTTTCATTTCTGTTCTTTTAATAGCTGTTTTAAACAATATCTTTTTTATATTTTTTTAGTTGTTTGCTCCTAGAATATAGAGATTCTGGTTTTTTGCATATTACTCTTTATCCAGGTAGCTTCTGAACTCTCTCTTAAATTCTAAAGGATTGTAAATTTTGTTGGATTTTCTCTGTAGACAATCATAATATTTGCAAACAATGACTCTAATCTTTCTTTCCAATCCATATGGTTTTATTTCCTTTACATCTCTCAGTATACTGACTAGGACGTCTAGTACAGTATTGAAGAAACACACTCATAGTTACTGACTTCAAAGGATGCTTCTAAATTGTCACTATTAAATATGATGTTTGCTGTAGGTCTTGGGTAGATAATCTTCAGCATTTTAAGGCAGTCCCTTTCTAATTCCAGTTTGCTACTTGTTCTTATCAGGAATGGACACTGGATTTTAACTAATTGGTAATATAGTATTTGTCTTTAATCTGTTAATATGCAAATTAAATTAATAGAATATAGTGCTAAACCATCCTTAAATTCCTGGGATGAATATTACTTGGTCATCTTTTATACTTTACTGGATTCAATTTGTTAAAATTTCATGTAACATATTTGTGACCCCATGGACTGTACAGTGCATGGAATTCTCCAGGCCAGAATACTGGAATGGGTAGCCTTTCCCTTCTCCAGGGGATCTTCCCAACCCAGTGATCGGACCCAGGTCTCCCACATTGCAGGCAGATTCTTTACCAGCTGAGCCACCAGGGAATCCCAAGAATACTGGAGTGGGTAGCCTATCCCTTCAGGGGAATCTTCCCCACCCAGGAATCAAACTGGGGTCTCCTGCCATTGCAGGCAGATTCTTTACCAGCTGAGCTAAAGAGAACGCTTCAATTAATTTTATGAGGCAAAACAGCATTGATTAACTTGAAAAGAGAACAAAATCATAATCATTTTACTTATTTCCATAGAGATACGTTGAACTTCCCTGGTTGCTCAGTTGGTACAGAATCTGCCTGCAATGCAGGAGACCCTGGGTTGATTCCTGGGTTGGGAAGATCCCCTGGAGAAGGGATAGGCTACCCACTCCAGTATTCTTTGACTTCCCTGGTGGCTTGGCTGGTAAAGAATCTGCCTGCAATGCAGGAGACCTTGGTTTGATCCCAGGGTTGGGAAGATCTGTTGGAGAAGGGAACTGGCTACCCACTTCAGTATTTTGGCCTGGAGAATTCCATGGACTGTATAGTCCATGGGGTTGCAAAGAGTCAGACATGAGTGAGAGACTTTCACTTCTACTTCCTCTCTTTTTCTAGTCTATGAATTAATTTATATAAAAGAAGACTTGTATGTTCCTTGAAGGATAATTAGATCTTATCTCTAAAACCATCTGAACTTAGTATTTTTTGAAGTTAGACTTTGAACAACTTATTCAAATTCGCTGACATGACTGAGAGACTGAACTGAATGGATATATATCTAGTCATTTTCTATTAAACTGATAAGAATATATACTACAGTATACTTAAGAACATATGCTGCTGCTGCTAAGTCACTTTTAGTCGTGTGCGACTCTGTGCAACCCCATAGACAGCAGCCCACCAGGCTCCTCTATCCCTGGGATTCTCCAGGCAAGAATACTGGAGTGGGTTGCCGTTTCCTTCTCCAGTGCATGCATGCATGCTGAGTCGCTGCAGTCATGTCCAACTCTGTGCAACCCTATGGACAGCAGCCCACCAGGCTCCTCCATCCACAGGATTCTCTAGGCAAGAATACTGGAGTGGGTTGCCATTTCCTTCTCCATTAAGAACAGATACTAAATTCAATATTGAGAACTTACATTTTTCAATAAAATTGTCCTTTTATCTAACTTTTAAATGTACTTCCATCATAATACTTTCATAAATTTTAAAAATCTTGATTATATCTGTGTTTTGTCACCTATTTTATAGCTAAATTTTTTTTTGCTTTTTCTTATATTTAATAAGTCTTACTATCAAACTAATCTCTTCAAATAACCATATTTTGGCTTTATCAAAGTATAATTTTTCTTTTTTTAGTTCATTAATTTCTACCCTCTATCTTTAGTTTCTTGGGATTTCTTTTGTAAAAAAATCTGAAGTAGTAGAACGCCTACTCATTAACTTTTAATATTTTTTCTAAATTAATAAATTTTAGGATACAAAATACAGCTTTAGCAACAGCCTAAAAGTTTTGATATGTAGTGTTTTTCCTGTTATTTCTTAGAATCTACTTTATAAAAGATTTCTTCTTTAACTGTGAATTACCGAAGTGTGTTAATTTCAAACCTATTATGTATTTTTAGTTATCTCTTTGTCATTTATTTCTAGTGTTGCTATATTTTAATCAGAAGAGACAGTTTATACATTCTTTGGTTTTATGAAACTTGCTTTGTGGCCTAGAATGTGGTTATTTTTAAACTCAAGTTATGACTTAGAGGTCACTCTTCATTGATATATATGTATCTACTACCTTTTAAAAAAATAGATTATTTATTCCCTTTTGATAATGTTTCTTTCTTCCTTCCTTCCTTTCTTTCAATCACAAACAGTGCTGTATACATCTTCTGTGTTGTCAGTCCCCCAGATCATATCCATATTCAGAGATTTGCTAGAAGATTTGCTGAAAGTCATGGGACTTAGCATATAGTTGTGCTCATGGCTAAAGGTTTATTACTGTGACATAATGAGGATACAAAGCCAGGTGATGAAGAAAAAAAAAATACGCAGAGTGAAGGAATCCATGTGCAAGCTTCCTTATGCTTTTTTCTTCACATGAGGGAGTCACACAGTGTACACTCTTCATGCAATAACAAACATGTTATTCTCTGACCAGGAAATCCCATTAGATTGAATGGATTTCAAGGATTTTTTTTGGAGGCTTGTCACATAGGTACCCTCTGCCTATCACATACAAAAATTCCAGGACCCCAGAAGGAAAGCAGGTTGAACAAGAATCCTACTGTTTGTAAAAGTAGTCTAGGCATAATGAATTACCTTTATCACTTAAGGAATGGTGGGAAATCTTCCAAAATCCAAGTATCAAACCCTTGTTAAAACTTACCCTTGCAAACAGATCCTTCTAAAGTTAACAGCCTCAAACCTACTGTGTTAACTCTTTCTACACACTTTCTCATGCATATATGCAAGTAATTTTAGAGTAGGTTAACACTATGAAGTGATGATTCGTACAGTTCAACAGATGTGCATTGAATTAAATTGCATAGTACTTATGGGAAATTGTAAGTTTCAAACTAATTACTTATAAGTAAACTTTTATAATATAATCCTATTCATGAGTTGGGATTGACTGTAGTTAATGAACAATATCATATACTCTTCAAAGAAACTAAACCTCCACATGGTAGCCTTGGTTAAAAAAAAAAAAAAAAGCTCTTATCTTCATTTAGCATAACAGAAAACTGAGAAATCTTTTAAAAAGGGAGTTTGTATTTGTATCATTTAATACTATATATTAGCTGTTATCTGTCATCTTTGCTGTCTATGCTAAATATCCTTCTCTATAAAGGTTAATATTTGAAATAAAGAGCTTTTTAAAGGAATGAATTGTTATTTTTAACTTTATTCAGATTTGTAGAAAAATGCTACATCGCCACGTGCTTATATTTCGACTGCCTAACTTACAGATGTTAGATGGAATTCCTGTGAATTCAGATGATAGAGCAAAAGCTGAATTTCACTTCTCTGAACTACAAGCAAAGAAAAATTCGGTAATAATAATTTACACTTTTCCTTTTCAAATATATAAATTATTAGTAGATGAACATTATGTCATGCATTTTTACTTAAATGTTTAAATCTAGTGTTATGATGCTTCTGTAGACTATTTTAGTATGTATTTAATGGTTATTGTCAAAAGCAGCTTGATCTGGTGAACAGAGCACATACACACACATAAAAACTAGGAAAGCTCCTTATTCTAAAAACATACTTTAATGTAGAGCAAGTTATTTAAAACTGTGTGCCTCTTGCTCCATATGTCAGGTGCTGCTAGAAGTTAAGAAACTATAACATATCACTCTTACAAACTGAGACTAACAATAAAACTCTTTCCCTTTCTATCTCCTAAATGGAAAGAGTTTTATTGTTCATGGGCCTTTTGCCCATGAACCCAAGTAGGATATCCAACTGTGATAGGGACAAGGTTAGAGAGGGAAGAAGCCACAGAAGCATATCATTTGGCAATTCTATCATTGACCACCAGGATTTTTCATAGCCATCTTCAAAAGACTAAACACAGAAAAGCTATGGGTTTTGAGCAAAGAAGTAATATTATTAGAGCTGTGCCTTTGCAAAGTTTAAGGAAGAAAAGCCTAGAGGCAGAGAAATCAACTTAAGAGGCTTTTAGGATAATCCAAGAGAGAAATTATGAAGACCTGGACTAGGGTGGGGCAGTGAAATGTAAGTAAACCTCTAATGTAAGTGAAAGCCAGAGAGCAAGGGCATTAGTCAGGGAACAGATTACTTTTAAAAGCTAATTGAAGAGGAGAGAGATAAGACTACTGTAGATGCTTTCACTCATCTCACTGGCTTACCCCACACTCTCCATTCCCTCTATAAAACAAACTAACCAATTCCTAGCATTTAATACTAGTAGGCTCCTCTCTAACTAACTTCTGCCTTCAGCAATAGAATCACAGATTTATTAAAAGTTGGCTATGTTTTTTCAAAAACGTATGCCAATCTTTTATTTTAAATAAATAGATATAAAAGTACAAATTTTAAATTATTATTTCCATGTTTCTTTGAAAACCAAATGAGATCCTCTGAAGAATCTGGATAAAGATCAACTACACACATACATGAATAATATCAAATTAGGTTGGGGGTAAAAAGAAAACCTGCAAAATAAGGGAGAGAATTATAAAAAGTCAGATAAAATATGTGGGGAAATTTTTAAAAATCTAGGCAGTTTCTTGTATTCAAATTTTCTCCATATGTTGTTGAAGTCTTGTTACTTTAATGAAACTGAGCTGGAAATTGTGGTGGCTTTATCAATCAGATAAAATACCAGTCAAAGGACACTTCCTTACAGAAAAGGCCTTGGCCCTTCATCCAAAGATGGTGGGCACATGTACTTTTATGTTTTAAAATCCTTTAAAGGATTATAAAAAGATTACAGATCTAATTCTTATTATTTCCTGGACTTTTTTTTTATTAACCAAGGGGATTCTATTATTGATCAAAATAACTGTAGATACCTGTGAAACTTACAGCTGTACAATGTTAATAAAGATTATCTAGATTAGGCAAAGGAAATTGGTTCATATATGGGTTATATCTACAAAAGTTTTTCTAAGAACTGTGCTTTGTGTAAAACAATGTTAGCTACTAATCTATATGATACAATTGAGAGCACCATCTAAATGTCATCTACCACAATTATTGTCACAGTCTCTAGTCTTTAAAAAGAGAACAAATAAAATTTAGTCCAAAGATTTAAGCTTCCTTTCCCTTTCTTTTATATTCCATGAGCAAGTCACTTCTTGCTTCCAGAAGTGAAAAACTAAAGGAAACTTTAGTTTCTTGTTGCTGTTATAACAAATTACCTCAAATTTAGTATCTTCAGACAACACAAATTTATTATCTTAAAATTCTAGAGGTCCTAAGTCCAAAAATAAGTCCTGTAGAGCTAGAAGCACAAGTATTGGCAGGGCTGCAATATCTTCTGGAAGCTCTGCAGATTCACTTGGTCTTTGCCTTTCAGCCTTCTAGAGGTTATCAGCATCCCTTGGCTTGTGGCCCTCTTCCAACAAATAGCATAACTTTGACCTCAGCTTCCATCATAACATCTTTTCTCCATTGTTATAAGGATGTTTGTGATTGTGAAGGGCCTACCTAGTTAATAGGGCATAATCTCCCCATCTCAAAATCCTTAATTTAATTATACCTGTACAGTCTATTATACCACATAAAGCATTCACAAGTTTTGGAGATTAGGATGTGGACATTTTGTGGAGGGGTAGCATTATGCTGTCTACCATATCACATATGTGAGGCCTCTAGTGAGAGACCTATACGAATTGTAACATTAAATTTTATAAATTCTATTTTAAGGTAATGCTGGCTACATTTTAAAAAATCCATATAACTTCATAAATACTAAATTCCATATGAATAAATCACTCAGAGCAACTTCAAAGATCTCAATTTCCATATATATTTTTAATTGGTTTAATATAGCAAAAAAAGTCATAAACTCAAATTTTAGTCATCGATGGATGTGTATTTCACTAAAAGTTTTTCTTGTTTGCTTCTTTTCTATTTATCATATAGTGAACTAACATTTCCCCCAGTCTATACTATGATTTGTTTTCAGTGATTCCAGATACCTATTCTTGCTATTTGAATCAGTGCCATATGTAAGAATGGAAAGAATATCTTTCCATTTATCCTATATATGTATATTTTATTTAAAAGTTAGGTTTTTAAAAATTCATCTATATATGGTTAATAAAATAAAGGGAGCACTTTAAGTCTTTATTTCAGATAAATCTATTTTTTAAGATGCAATAATTTTTATTTTCCTGTCCAGAACAAAATTGAATTATTATTTCATTTAGCTGTTCAGAAGACACAAGAATAGAATACTTTTCAAGTTTATCAGTTCATTCTAATGTATTTTCCTTTGTTTTAGTTGCTGCTGTTCTTTTTTTTAAACAGCAAATAAAGAGGGAATAAATGAAATCTAAAGTCACCCTTTAAACCATAACATTTTGATGCTTTGGTTTCAGAAGAAATTTGACAGCTTTCTAGATTAGTGATGGGAAGAAACTCCAATGAAGGAATTAGTTAGGGAATTTGGAATCTGCTTTACTAAAAGGCCTGATACCTTAGTTCTCATTACAAAGCTGCATTTTAGTTACATTTACTGAAATATGAGGGAAGTGTGTAATTTTACACAAATGCATAAGCCTATATCTTGAAATAAATTGAATCATATATTCAGAATTCATATTTTTTAAAATATAAACAAGGTCAGTCTTACTAAAGACAGAGCAGGCATCCATTTCTAGGGAAACCAATAGTGTCCAGTCTATAATACCCCTCTCCTCCATTTGTTGATTCCTGAAGCTCTTTTACAAGCCTCTTAATCCGGAAATCCTGTGTACAGAGGAGGTTGGTGGGCTATAGTCCATGGGGTTGCAGAGTCAGACTGAACAACTAACACTTTCACTTTAATTCTCAATTAACATAAAATGTTAGAGGGTTAGTGCACTCACTAAAAGTGATTGTGGTAAGGTGCTTTTCTTGTGTTAAGTCGTATCATTTGTGTCTGACTCTTTTCGACCCCACAGACTATAGCCCACCAGGCTCCTCTAGGTCCAGTGGATTCTTCAGACAAGACTACTAGTGTGGGTTGCTATGCCCTCCTCCAAGGGATCTTACCAACTCAGGGGTCGAACCCGAACCTCTTATGTCTCTTGCATTGACAGGCGGGTTCTTTACCACTGCACCACCTGGGAAGCCCCATGCTTTTCTTAGTTCCCACTTTATTTATTTGTTTTTGAAAAATTAATCAACTGCAAGACAATTGAAGAGGTAATGTGAGGAGCACAAAGATGTAGAAGATATAACTCTTACCATCCAGATACTCCTGTTCAGAAAAAAAGAAAAGCTATTGCAAAAGGGGAAAGGCTTAATTCTCATTTTCCTAATTTTACATTTACCATGTTAGGACCCTTTGGAATGGGGAGGTGCCATCACACTAATTTGCAATGATGCGTACAATGCAGTCTGAAAAAAGTAAAAAATAAGGTTCTGATGGGGGGTTAAGGACCCCAAAGGCTGTCTATTTCACCGCTTTTGCCTCTCTACCAACTCTGAGTTTAGGCAACCATTTAATTTCTGACCTAAAAAATTTTAAGTTGAATTTCAAATGGGGCTTGTGGTAAGGCTAAACCTATTGATCTGAGTTTTAGAGGCAAGATGTTCCTAACTTCTTTTTTTATCATGTAGTTTATTCCTGTTACCAGCTCTCCTGTGGATGGTGCATCATTTAGCCAAGTGAAAGCTCCTCCCATAAAGATAACAAATGTAATTCTGCCTGGTGGATTTAGCCATTACTTGGGATCTGACTTCACTTTAACTCCTGAAGTTGAAGGTATTTTGAGAGTTTCTGAAAGAATGTAAAAAAAAAAAAAAAACCAAAACACTCCATTTGATACAAAAATCTTACTTTGGTTTCTAATACTTAAAATTGCATATTTTAAATTACAAATTTACAATTCCTAAAAGTGAATTTTTGTTCAAGTTTCATGTGACCATTCTGATTTCAAAGAATCTATAGTATTTTTTGGTTCTATTCAGCTACTAATACATTGTAGTTAAAGATTTGCTTGCAATTTGAACTTTGTGATACTGGATTTTTCTTGGCATTTCCTTTCAAAGCTTTTATTCCATTTTGTGTATTTCATAGCAAATGACTACTAAAACCTGTAGTGCATTCTGCTAAAAGTAGAGGTTTAAAAATATTCATAACAACGGACTCTTGGCTCTCCAAGTGTGTCTTACAAAAAGATCAAACTTCATCCTTGAAACCACAGTATTATTTTATATATTCATGAAGCTATTAGTAGGAAAGTGTTTCAAGAGGTAGCTCTGTAAATGGAGTATATTAAAAGGTCAAGGCATGGAAATGGTTCATTCTATTATTACATTTGCATTCAGGCTTAGATGAAACCTTTTCCCTAATTCCAGATGTTGGCTGGCTATCATTTTTATGAAATTGGGGATAGCTAGAAGACCTTGCTTCTTGGAAGGAAAGCTATGACAAACCTAGATAATGTATTAAAAAGCAGAGATATCACTTTGCCAACAAAGGTCTGTATAGTCAAAGCTATGGTCTTTACAGTAGTCATGTATGGACATGAGAGTTGGACCCTAAAGGAGGCTGAGCACCGAAGAATTGATGCTTTCTAACGATGGTGTTGGAGAAGACTCTTGAGAGTCCCTTAGACTGAGGACATCAAACCAGTCGTCCCTAAAGGAAATCAACCCTGAATACTCATTGGAAAGACTGATAGTGAAGCTAAAGCTCCAATACTTTGGCCACCTGATTGCGAAGAGCTGACTCATTAGAAAAGACCCTGATGCTGGGAAAGACTGAAGGCAAAAAAGAAGAGGGCAGCAGAGGATGAGATGGTTAAATAGCATCACCGACTCAATGGACATGAACCTGGGGAAACTCCCGGAGATAATGAGGCACAGGGAGACCTGGTGTGCTGCAGTCCATGGGGTTGCAAAGAGTTGGACATGACTTAGTGACTGAACAACAACTCTTTCCCTGAGGACTCACCTCTTCCATTCTTTTTAAACATCCCACTTTGCCTCAAACTACTGTTAGACAATAAAATTCTAAAACTGAGTATCACAATAATGATAAAATGATCTAAAAACCTACTAAGCATAGTAGATCTCTCTATGCAATTATTCTTAAAAGAAACTCAATTTTTAAAAATCCATATAATTTAGTCTAAGATGTTATTTTTTAACTTATTCTTTATACTTCTACTTATTTATAGCTTTAAGATTTAATCATAGTGAGAATTTTAATGCTTTTGTCCAGACGACAAAGCTATCAGTAAAACTGGATATACCAAATTGTTATTAGCCTCCTAAGAGTACAGTTTCATCACTATCATCTTCAGGATTGTCTTCAATATCTTTTTTTCTGGGGAGGGGGGAAGGTTAGGGATTAGTTCAACCCTGGATTCATTTCCATAATTTTTTCCTAAGATATCTTTAAGATTCATTGTGCAACTACTTTTTAGGATTTTCTGGAAAAGTCCTATTTCTTTCCTATTTTCTGAGTATATTACCCCAATTTTTATTTGAGAAGTATGGTCACTTTATCTATGTATTTATTTACAGCACACAGCTCTGGATATTTAGATTTTTAAAATTACCAAGAAAGTATCAAATTGATTCACTAACTCAGAAAAATTTAAACAGCATTTAAGTACTAGAAATATATTCCAATTTTAACATTTATTTAAAATTTTTAATTCATGCTGTGAAATGTGTATAGCATACAGTCAATTGAAGGACAACCATAGCTTATTAATTTATTTTATTAATGCCTTTCATTGTTTCATAATTCCTAATTTCAGACAAAAAAGCCAAGAACGCAGGGATGCTGACAAATAATCCTCGGAGCATCCATGCAGAAATAGCTTTTCGGCAACTCAGAGGGATAAATCTCTCTCCATCTTTTTTATCACATCAGAATATGGCATCTCCAAGTGCACAGATGTACCAGAGCAACCAAGACGAGGGAAGGTAAAGCTATTCTGTGTTTTAATATCACTTCTCATCATAAAACCTCCCAAATTTGCTGATCATGTATAGAAATAGGAAATATTGTTATATACTATTATGTATTTACTCTGTGAGCTGGGGGAAGACTGTCAACATATTCTCTCACATTCACCGAATCTTTCTCAAAGTCCGGCATATACATCATAATTCAAACAGAAATGGCTTTCAAGGTAGAATAGTGCTCACCTTGTACTTATGTGAGGAAACATTGAAACAATTATGGGAACCACTTTTAATTGTATTATCTCCCAAGTCACTTCTACTTACTGAATATGCAAAGCAGTTCACTTTATTTTGAACAACAGATAAATTCAACTCTGAAATCACAAAGGCTGAGAATTAGTAAATTCTTCAGACTTGTAATTCCCACTTGCCCTTCCTCCAGTTTGGATCCTAGTCCTTAGAGGCCAGGTGAAGGCCAAAGAACATGATATTCTTATTAAGATTTCACTCTGCTGCTCAAAACCTATCCACCCAGATTTCCAGTTAATATTTGCCCTCTAGCTTCTTTGTAGCCAATCTCTGGAACACCTATTAAGCCTGGCTCTTGCCGTACTGACTTCCCTGCTATAATCAGTCATGTCCCACTAAGTATATATTTACTGAGTATACTATGTTGATATCACGGGCTTTCCTGGTAGCTGCAGGAGTCCCCAGTTCAATTCCTGGTTGGGAAGATCCCCTGGAGAAGGGAATGGCAATTCACTCCAGTATTCTGGCTTGGAGAACTCCATGTACAGAGGAGCCCGGCAGGCTACAGTCCATGGGGTCACAAAAGAGTTGAACATGACTGAGCAACTTGCACTTCACTTTATGTTGATATCATATTTTTATATCAATGGGTTATCCTCATGATAACCTGACTTACAGTTAGTCAAAAACATGGTATTTTTCTCTCTTGTGGTGTCTTTTTGAAATTGTACACATATAAAATACAAAAATTATTTACTTCAGAATTACCTTAAGTTAGCTGATCCATTAAGAAATTGTCACCACTGTTTAACTCATAAATATTTTGTTTCTGACAGGATTCCTGGCAGCCACTTTCCAAGATCAAATAGAATGTAACTGCCTAAAGAGAACTGAATATACACCAAGAAACCTATTTCCGCTTAGAAGTTGTGCAAAAACTAGCAGACAGTGTTGGTGATAAAAATATACATATAAGATAATCACGTTACTTATGTTACTGAAGCACTTCAGTTCCATATGAAGATAATCTCTATCATCCTTGGTGAATTTTATTTAATATCACCTCTCTTAAACTTTCTTTACACTTAAGTTATTCATTTGATTTTCTATGTTAGAAAAATCATGAAATATACAACAATTTGAAAAGCTAAAGTGACATAAAATGAAGTCCAAAGAATCAAATATTTAGTCCTGTTATTGGAAGCGTTTAGTTGTAAAATCTCATTTTGACTTGATATATAAAGATACTAAGCAAAGGTAATTTTAGGAAATAGTATGTTTTCATTTGTAGAATATCTATCCATTTAGGCTTATCTAAAACTAAAGAATACATTTCTTACCAAACACAACTATTCTTAAATCAGGTTGAGTTTTGTTAGTTGAACTACAGATGAGTTTTTTTAGAACTATATATATTTTTTTAAAAATAGTGTTAAATGGGGTTTGTCCTAAGAATTATTTAGAGATGTAAATCATAGGCATCAATAATACTTCCTGAAGGTGGCTAACTATGAGTGCAACTCATGCTAAAAGAATAAAAGAATACTATTTCATATACAAAATTCATTCAATGTGCCCATAGTGATATAATTTTACAAGTAAGTTGTAGGTTAAGTAAACACATGTTCAAAATGAGTGGACACATTTAAAATTTGGACTCATATTTCACTGGAAATAATTTTTCTAAAATAATTATATTGCATACTACTAGGACAAATCTCAAATCAATCAAATGTAGTTTTGAATTTATTAAACACAGTTCTTTAATGATTAAATTGCCAATCATATTTTTATATCAAGAAGTTCCATGATTCATGAAGTATTCTGTTTAAATTTTTCAGGTAGTGGTTCAACATTGCATGTAATTTTCATATTATTTTACGTGTTCCTTACATGAAAATAAATTATTTTTACTAAAATATTTGTATTTTATAATCTATCAAAATAGTTGTAAGGATATTTTGGAAATTCCGATGTGCATGCAATAGTTTTGTGTCTTCTTTAAATACTCTATGTTTGTAATTTAATCATGTAATATTTAAAATTTCAAACCTAATACAGATTGATTTTACCCTTCTTAATGTGTGGTATTTAAACTATTACTCTAAGGTAAAAATAAGATCCTTTGTTTAAAAAGGAACTATGCAGTTCTTAAGATGTCCAGAAGATGTCTTTGTCACCCTTTAGTTTTGAAAACTACTTTCACTAGTGTTGTGATAAGCATCTGCTCATTATTACTTGCTACTAACTTGACATCATTTGCTTTTTCTTCCTGTCATGCTTATGTGTAAATGAAATGCTCAGTATATTCCACTTTTATAGTAAAACGTGTCTTTGTAAATAATAAACTGGATGGGAAAAACAGGTTTTCACTGGAGAAAAATTTACAAGAGTAGAAAATTATAAATCAGGAAAAACATAACTTATTCAGCATCCACTTAATGTTCAAAATTTTTTTCCTTAGCCATTTTTTCTATGCATCTCTAATATATTTGAGATCTACCATTTGATTTTTTATGAACACACTGTTCAATTGAGATATTTTTATTATAACATTTTAATTAAATCTGAATTTCTTCCTGAAAGTAAATTTGTAATACTTAATTTAATAATAACAAACACTGAGAATAATAACAAACATATTTAGGCATTTCTGGGTGCTGACAGAAACAGACATTGACTAACCTTAAGAACATTTTAATATAAATATATAATAAATTCTATATGAAAGCAGTGAGGGGATGATAACTAAGATAATTTGGCATAGTAGTTCTGAAGATTTTTCTACCAGGAAAGCAGATGATGATACAATATACTCCCCTAGGAATGCCCAGACAGGTTAAGCTGTTGGTTATGTGAAATTCTTAAAGCAATATTTATAACTTCATCCCCTTCCTATTCAACAAAACAAATGAAAATATAATTGAATATGAGAGATGTTTTGACAGACCTGCTTTAGATCTGCTCTAAATGATTTTTTTAAGTAAATCAACTGTGAAATTTTACATTATTCATAATATGCTTCACCACCAATTATATAACAAAACAAGCAAGTAGTGCTTATTTTTATAAACCACTAGTCCATATTTTGGGCTTCCCGAGTGGCTCAGCGGTGAAGAATCTGTCTACCAATGCAGGAGACTCAGGTTTGATTCCTGGGTTGGGAAGATCCCCTGGAGAAGGAAATGTCAACCCACTCCAGTATTCTTGCCTGGGAAATCCCATGGACAAAGGAGCCTGGTGGACTATATAATCCATGGGGTTGCAAAACAGTTTAGTGACTAAACAACAAACAACAACAATCCTAATAACTTATGAAGTATATATAACATGCACTGTCTCCATTCATAGATTTTTTTTTTTTTTAATGGCCTTAACAGGAAAAGATATCACACCAAATTCTAGATTTTTTCAACTCTAAATTCATTGTTTTTTCAATTACTGCAAATAACTGACATGTAATCATTCCTAATGTGCTGTTTAATCAGCTGTTGTTGAGCCCTAATGTGTGCAGAAACTGCAAACTATTTATTTATTCTCTTTCCGTGTATTTAGCATAGGGAAAATGTTTAATTTATACAGTAAAATTAGTTCTTTACTCCCTAGCAAATGTCTTGATAAGTTTGAGTGCAGTCAAATGCATAATTATATGATTTGTTTTAAATTAAAGGACAATTCTACAAACAATCTGGAAGGCTAAAAATCAGGGCCCTTTAACTATAGGCAAGGAACCTGCATTGCTGAACTGCATATAGATGTCGAAGTGATCTGATTTCTATGAAGTAATCGTCTGACTTTTATGAAGATTGACTGTAAATGTTTATTAGAACTTTATTATTTACTTTACTTTTCTACTACTTACACAAAATTAACTATGGTTGTGAACATACCCTTGCATAGAATATTTAGTGTGGCTGTGTGTGTGTGTGTTTGCACGCACTCATGACTCGTTTTAAAATAGTCCTTATATTTAAGTAACATGTCATTTCACTATTTACTCATAAGCTATCATACACTATGAGAAGTGTTTAATGTTTTAAAACATTAGATCTTACTGTTTAGTCATGCTGTAGGCTCTTAGCTCCAATTAAATGTTACATAAAAAGAAGTAAATTATAATTTTATAAGAGTAGAAGCAAGCAACTTGTGTCTGACTTCTGTTAGTTAGTCAATGAGTTTAATATTGGTTTGTTTTGGTATAGAAACTGGCTGACTCTTTTAAATTACTCTGCTATAAAACTTAGAATTTTGGATGACCTCCTTTTAACTACATTTCTTGTTCATGTCTATGAAGTGAAAGTGAAAGTTGCTCAGTCATGTCCAGCTCTTTGCAATTCCATGGACTGTATAGTCCATGGAAGTCTCCAGGCCGGAATACTGGAGTGGGTGGCCTTTCCCTTCTCCAGGAGATCTTCCCGACCCAGGGATCAAACCCAGGTCTTCCACATCGCAGGCAGGATTCTTTACCAGCTGAGCCACAAGGGAAGCCCAAGAATACTGGAATGGATATAAAAGGTTGTTGCTGAGCCATGAAAGACGCCAGGATTCTTGGCCTCCAGAGGAGAGGAATTCAATCTGGGGCCAGTGACGAGGCTTGATTGCTCAGAGCTTTTGTGTAATGAAGTTTTAATAAAGTATAAAAGAGATAGACAAAGCTTCTGACATAGACATCAGAAGGGGGCAGAAAGGGTGCCCCCCTGCTGGTCTTTAGCAAGATGTTTCACGTCTGTTCAGTTCAGTTCAGTCGCTCAGTCGTGTCCAACTCTTTGTGACCTCATGAACCACAGCACACCAGGCCTCCCTGTCCATCACCAACTCCTAGAGTTTACCCAAACTCATGTCCATTGAGTAGGTGATACCATCTAACCATCTCATCCTCTGTCATCCCCTTCTTCTCCTGCCCTCAATCTTTCCCAGCATCAGGGTCTTTTCCAATGAGTCAGCTCTTCGCATCAGGTGGCCAAAGTATTGGAGTTTCAACTTCAACATCAGTCCTTTCAATGAATACTCAGGACTGATTTCCTTTAGGATGGACTGGTTGGATCTCCTTGCAGTCCAAGGGACTCTCAAGAGTCTTCTCCAACACTACAATTCAAAAACATCAATCCTTCAGTGCTCAGCTTTCTTTATAGTCCAACTTTCACATCCATACATGACTACTGGAAAAACTATAGCCTTGACTAGACAGACCTTTGTTGGCAAAACAGTGTCTCTTCCTTTTACTATGCTGTCTAGTTTGGTCATAACTTTCCTTCCAAGGCGTATGCGTCTTTTAATTCCAAGGGTGTTATGTCTGTTAGAAAGCTATTAATCAGATAAGAGGGACACCTCAAGGCTGAGGGAGTTTCACCAGGCCCTTCTCCCACAATATGCATTTTTGAGATAGGATGGCAAGAGGTGTGTCATCCCCCAGCTATAAAACAATTGATATGAATACTGGTTTGTTGAACTATTATCAGCCCAAGGTTTGAGAAAAGAAAAAAAGTTAGTCTTAGGTGGAACCATTTTGAAGAAAGGCAAATTCCAAAGCAAATACATAGTTTCATTAACATAGCTTAAAAAAAAATTTCCATAAAAAAAATGCATTGGTTAGCTCAAAGTTTGAGAAAAGTTAAGTTCAGGTGAAATCAGGTGTCGTCACGGCAACACAGAATTTTAAGAGAAACCTCCTTTTAATTTTGTATAGAGAAGGGAAAAAAATCTGACACTTGTAGTTTGTTTCCTCCTGTGGCTTAAGGGAGAGAGAAAAAATGTCTAACCCTTGCAGCTGATTTCCTCCATTTGAGACCCCTGGCCTTCCTGCCTGTTACCCTCTCAGGTAGCCTATCCATTCTCCAGTGAATCTTTCTGACTCAGGAATTGAACTGGGGTCTCCTGCATTGCAGGCGGATTCTTTACCAACTGAGCTATGAGGGAAGCCATCATCTCTTTATATTTTCCTCTATTATTGAAAGTTTGTTTCTTTTTAAAAAAGTTGAAATATAGGTGATGTACAATATTATGTTTAGTTTTGGGTGTACTACATAGCAATTTGACAGTTACATACACTATGAAATATTTGCCTCTATAAGATTTATGACCATTTGTCCCCATACAAAGTTATTAACAATATTATTGACCATATTCCTTATGCTGTATATTACATCACTTGGCTTATTTATTTTACAGCTAGAAGCTTGTACCTTTAAATCTACTTCACCTTTTACACCCTCTTCTCCTATCTGCCTCCCCCTCTAGCAACTACCCATTATTTGTATCTATGAATCTGTTTTCATTTTGTTTTTTTATATTCTACATATAAATGAGATTATATGGTATTTTTCTGTCTCTACCTGACTTATTTCACTTAGCATAATACCCTCTAGATACACCCACATTATTGAAGTATTTTAAAGAAAAAAACTACACCAAATTGCAATTTTAGTTTGCAATTGCCTTTTGGAACTAGGTCAGCAAAAGTACATAGTTATTTTATGACTATTTTATTTCTGAAGTTTTTAACCTTATAAAAACATGAATTATAAATATTATATTATTCCTCTTTTTCTTTGATTTATGGATAAAATTATTTTGTAAACTACAGAAAAGATATTTCTCTGACCCAATTTGTGCACTTTTTAACTCAAAATTTTGTTTTAGTGATGATTTTTCCTTATAATTAAAGTAAAATAAATTATTTTATAGCAAAAACATGAAATTCTGTAACCTAAAAATAGAATAATACATTCAAAGGAAATTAAAAGTCGCTTTGAAAGTGTTAATTACCCGAAATCAAATTATTTATTATTTACATGTAATCTATTAGGAAACCTTAACTATATGCTCTTTTAGGTAAATAAAAAAGCAAATTCAAAAACAACAAAAGCAAATCATCAGCATCATTTTCATATAAAGTACTGGTGGTTCTGAAATGCTAATTTTAAAATTAGAATATTATTCCTTATATTGTATCATTAAAAATAAGAGTATTTATTTCTAAAATGCTCCAAATAAAAATCCATTGGGATGACATTTTGATAACTTTTAAAAATTAATTTCATTTTGATCAAACAAAATGAAAATGGATCTCAAGTATT